GGCAATGCGGAGACAGCGTTGAACGATCGAATATGTAAGATTCCATTAACCAGAGTGACCTTGTGTCGCCACTCAAACTGCGACAGACAGCTTGTCGCGTAGTTGATTAGGTATAGAGGGGCGGGCAGGCGGGGGGGGTGGGACCAGCACAAATCGTGCATCAACCAGCAGCATGCGTCAGAGTCGAGCTGCACTGTCCACGGTTTCGCTTGAGCAACCGACCGGTTTTCACATGAATTGGGTTGGGCAGCATGCACTCGACTGTGACGCATCCATTCCTGACACGACGTGTTTTGACAGATCGACTGTTTGTTAGATTTATGCGATACGGCTTGTTGCTTTTTTGTTTTTCGTACTTAAGCGCTTGTTTTTGTGATGGGATTTTGCTCAGTCGTTGTTTCTTTTTGCATTCCGTTGAAGCTCTTTTTCATCTTGTTCGTTGGCTTCGTTCCGTCTTTGCTCTGTTAACTCCCAAGCACAATGAAAACCATCACTGTCTTGTTCGTGGGGGCGTTCATTTTCGCCCTGGCCTCCGCCACCCCGGTTTGCCCGCCGGAGCGCACCTCCCCTTACTTTTTCGGTGCCAGCGGATTTATCGCCAAACAAGGCGCATTGGCTGTAGAGCCGAATGGCGACACTTCACTGCGCTCGATCGAATTCAAGCTGCGCCTTCGCGACACTCCAGCTGTACTGACTGAACAAATCCTTGCTTATGGTCACCACACGTACTACTTTGACGAGTTTGCCATTTTCCTGCAATGGGATGGCGCCAATCTGGCACTCGGCGGCTGGTTCAACGCGGGCTACGTTGGTATTGTCACGTTCGCAGGGACCGGGAATCCGTTGCTGGATCATGCCTTGCACACCTTCAAGGCGACATTTGATGTTGCTGGCGTCGTGACCTTGTTCTTGGACGATGTGATTATTCAATCCGGATCGATCCTTTCGCCCCCTTCTACTCTCTCGACCATCAACATCAACGGCCCGCTGCTCATCGGCGGCACAGCGACCTACAACGCCTTCGATGGCTGCATTTCTGACGTGCGTGTGAATGGCGTCGACCAGGTGCTCAACACTGGCTACATTACTCCGGTTGCGCTGGAAGGCTGCGTCTTCCCCGAAGTGCGTGGATTCGACGGCGCTGGCTACGTCAAGTACTACCCGCAGACTGGCGCGGAGCACGACGCTGGCGTGACTGACATTCGTATCGAGTTCCACCCCAATCCCGCTTACGCTGACGGTCTCATTCTGTATGAATCGGGCCTGCAGTACGCATTTGCCCTCGAACTGGTCGGTGGTCACTTGCGGCTGTTCATCAAGGGCGGCGGCGCCTCAAACCTCGTGCTCGTGTCGGCTAATATTTTCCAGACAGATCGCTGGTTTACAGTTGAAATCACTCGTGATGGCCAGCAAGTGCGGATGCGCATCAGCAACCCGAGTCTCGGTTTCCTTGAGGATTTGGTTGGTACCGTGCAGACCGGCCCTCTCACGTACACGGTGGACTCGCGCTTGTATGTCGGTGGACACTCGGACCCACTCGGTGGGCTTGTTGGCGTGACTGCTGCCAATTCCTTCCGAGGTTGCCTGCGCAACCTGATCGCCAATGGTGGCCCGCTCGACTTTAGCGATAGCATTGAGGAAGTTGGCGTCAATACCTCTCCGACCTGCTCGTTCCCTATTTAGAACATGAATGAAGCATCGAGCACTGCGAGTTTTGTGCTGTAATCGAAGGCACTTTTTGGTGTGAAGAAACAGTGTTGTTAATAAAATCATGGTACAAGTCTGTTCGCCCTCTGATTGAATCAAGTCTGCATGTTGCTGCTGTTGTACTTAATGGTAAACAGTAATGAGAAGTTTGGATCTACGTGCATGACGTCCTTCATTGTTCATTCAAATCAATCCTTGCAATGATGCAATGGCAGTCGCGTTCGAGGCAGCGCGCCATTCGGGAGTCGCCAGCAACAGTACTTCCTGTAGACGGAGGAGGGTGAACATGGGGTTGGCGCTTTTATGGAGAAAGTACAGCCGATGGGTTTCTTGGGCAAGGGCTGTGAAGTTGGATGGACAAATGTGAACCAATTTCCAATCGTGACCTTCAAGCCATTGCAGTCGAATGAACACCAGTTTCGTCCACAGCGTCGCCGGCCAATCTTCGTATGCAGGTGCCCAATCGACGCCCGTGAACATCTCCCCGACAATGTCCACAAACACGACGCAGGGTAGTTCTACAGTCTTGCGGAGCCAAGCAACGATCATTGGGTTGCACCGGCCATAGCCAAAGCGGTTGCTTCGCAACTTGACAATGGATGGCTGACAAAGCTGGACAAGCTTGAGTACATTGGGAAGATCTTCGTCTGCGAAAGAGTTCCCAGACAGGTCGAGGGTTGCGATGCTTCGGTTGGTGTCGATGAAGTCATGAGGCCGTGCCACCAAGTCTTCGATGAAGATGCCTGGATGCCGACCGCGCAGTGACCGAAGCGCAGACGGTAAGACCTTGCTGTTGGCCAAGTCCAGGAGCAGGAAATTTTCATTAAACGTGGGTTCGAGTGGCTGCGACCTTGGCTGGTAAACAAAGTTGAGGAGGGACTCGACAGCGAGCTCGCCACCGAAGGTCGCAATTTTCAGTCGCTCCACAAGCGCACCTTTCACCATTGCACGCTCGAGTGAGCGGACTGTCCGAACGGGCCAATTCCCAGGTGGGCTGTCTGGATTCAGGTCGAGGCTCTCTGCCACAGGGTCTGTCGACGCAAGCTCGGCCAGCGTTGCGAGCGGGTCGTCTTCCATCGTCAGAGCGAAAAAGGCGGGAAACAAACAATGACCTGATCATTGATCGTTGTCTGAGAATCAGTCTTTGTTTTTTTTTTTTTTTTTCTTCTTCTTCTTTCTGAGCCAAACATCATGTCCATTCCCAACCAAGGTGCCTATCCTCCTCCGGAGTACGCGACTGCCGGCTCGCCTCCGCCCCAGGTACCCCCATCCCTTCTTCTTTCTTCTGTTGTTGCTCTTCCCTTTGTGTCGTCGTTGTCGTCGTCGTTGGCTCACTTGTTGCTCCCTTTTCCCATGAATGTGTGCTAGGCTGGCTATCCTGCTCCTGCTGGCTATCCGCTCCAGCACCAGCCGAGCACGGGCTCCACCGCCTCCGCCGCCCCTTCGTACAACGCCCCTCCGCTTGAGGTAACACCCCCTCTCCCCTCTCCCTTCCCTTTGACCCTCTCCAGCCTGCGCTTCTTCTTTCCACATGACGTCGTTCTTTTTTTTTTTTTTTGTTTTTTTCAAATCTCCGAAGTCTGTTTTTCTCGCTTTTTTTGCTTTGCTTCACCGCGTCGCTGCTGTTGCTGTTGCTGCTGTTATTGTGGTTCTTGCATTCAAAGCGCTTGTGTGGTGTCCTTGTTGGTGGGAGCAGTGCAAAGCGATGGATGCGACGCAGAAATCCAACACTTTCAAACAAAACGTCACATTTGTTCTTTGCTTTTTTTTTTCTTTTTTTTTTTTTTTTGGCTTGCTTCTGTTCTTCATTGTCTCTTTCCCTTCTTCGCTATTGCAATGGGCGGACTTGCGCTGAAGCGTGTTGCCCCCCCCCCCCTTCAGTTGCTCAATGTGAGAGCGTTTCGCTGGGGGTTTTCTGCGTGGGGCCTTGTTTTCTTTGATTTTTTCTATTTTTCTTTTTTTTTTTCTATTTTTTTTTTCCAACCCCCGGCTCATCATGATTCAAAATGCTCACCGTCCCATGTCGAACTGCACTTTATGCTGTTGATTTGTCGCTCACTTTTTGATACCACAGGCCAAGCCGCCGGGCTACCCGCCGCAGCAGGGATACCCGCCCCAGGGCTATCCGCAGTCGCCCTCGCCGCCGCCTGGTGGCTACCCGCAGCAGTACCCTCAGCAGGGAGGCTACCCGCCGCAGCAGGGAGGCTATCCGCCGCAGGGCTATCCGCCGCAGGGATACCCGCCGCAAGGATACCCGCCGCAGGGATACCCGCCGCAAGGATACCCGCCGCAGGGATACCCGCAGCAGGGATACGTCCAGACCACGACGACGTACGGCACGAATCCCGCGCAGCAGCGCCAGGTCGTTGTCATCCAGGACAACCGCGTCAACCACCCGCTGCACTGCCTCATCACCTTCTTCTTCTTCCCCTGGATTATTGTTTGGTTTATTCTGGTAAGGCAGCGGAGTCTCGACAGTTTTTTATTTTGTTTTTTTCTATTTGGCCTTCGCTCTGGTTGCTTCTGTTCTTGTCTCGCTCAATCATACTTGCTCTGTACAGTGCCTTGCCGAAAGCTCTGGTCCCAGCGTCACTACCACCACGACCACTGCGAACGGCACCCAGGTCGTTCGCAACCCCTAAGTGTGATGACACGGCTCGCCATCCTTGAGACGGAATGATTCGACTGCTGCGCAGCGACTGCGAGTGCTGCATGCGTTTTGTCCTTTCGTGTTGCTTTTTTTGTTATGAACACAACAGTTTTCGATTTTTTTAATTCTGCTCTCTTTCTGTTGCTCCACTCTCCACCCCCCCCTCAAGGTTTTCACCGCTCGACGACACTATCGGCACTGTTGATAACGCGCCCTAAAAGGTTGAAATGGCAAGGAGCCCGTAATTCTTTAAACGTTCAATAGATTGATTGAAAAAATACACGACATTTGCAGTTAACCTGAACACAAAAACAGACATCGCACAACTTTGCTCGATGCCTCACAGCCGAGGGTTGCCGCTCGCATCGAGAAGACAATCTGCGTCGTTCGACAGCACTTGAGGACCGCTGCCAACTCGAGTGTGCATAACGTACTTGAGACTGTCCGCAAAGACGCTGCGGTTGATCGCCTGGAGTGTGGCAGCATCCACAGGTGCTGCTGGAACATCGCGGAAGCCGCGAACAAAGGCAGCCTCTGCGCCCACCGCTGGAGGGAAGAAGTGGCGCACCAAGTTGACAACCTCGTTCACGTTCTCGCGCGGCAGGTAAATGACCGCGTTCGGGCCCGCGTCAAACGTGTATGCCGCCTGGAGTATAGCCCAAAGCGAGTCAGAAACGAAGAAGAAAACAGAAGGAAAAGTCGGGCGGGTCGTGGGCAGCAACAAAATAATCAAGAAACCTGCCAAGAAAAAGCTCTTACCTGGATTTTCCCTTTGTGTGCGTTGTACTTGGTTAGCATGTCGATGATGCCGCGCGAAACATCGTTCAGGTAGGTAATAGGCGGGTAAGTGTCGAGGCAGACAGCGTGGAATTGGTTGGAGTCTTGCATTGTGATGCGGCCAAAAGTTTCAAAGTCTCGTGCTCGAATGGCATTCTGGATGTCTTCCATCCGCTGAGGGACAACCTTGTCTGCGCGGTGCTGGAATTGCAACAGCAACAGTACGGGGAAGGACGAGGTTAGGCTTGCGGCTCCTCGACACCAAGAAACACACTCAAAAAACACAAAGCACAACTCGAACGCTGTGTACCTTGACCAAGGAGCTCGTCTCAACAGTCGTTTGCATACCGGCCGTGCTGCTGGTGGTCTTCTTGTGGTCGCTGACGACCAGAATCAATACTTCAATCTCGGGCCAGTGGTGTTCATCGACAACCTGCTCGGCAATGCTGTCAGAGCCATCGGCTGCCTCGCCCATGACCCAACGGACCCAGCCGCCATAGATGGAGCGGCATGCGCTTCCCGATCCGACACGGGCAAGCTTTGTGACTTCTGCGAGCGAGTCGCCGACCTTGTACAGTTGTGCGAGGGCGTACACCAAGCACGCGTAGCCTGCGGCAGACGATGCAAGGCCTGCTGCCGTCGGGAAGTTGTTGACCGAGCAAATGTGCACCTTGTCTGTTGGCAGCGGTGCGCCCTGCTGGTGTGTCTGCTTTGCGGCGGCGAGCTTGCGGATTTCGCGGAGGCAGTTTTGCAGGCGCGGATTCTCGATGGATTCCTGTCTAAAATGGATGTAGCATGAAGGTTTTTGAAGTGAGCGAGGTTCTTGGTGCCCATCATCGGCAGACGTGTGAATCACAGTGAATCGCCACAGTGTGGATGTTTCGTCTGCGATAACTTTCTCGCCTCTCTCTCGCCTCTCTCGCTCTTCCATCAGGCAATGCCTTTGCATTGACAATCACTGTAGTAGCCTTTGCTTTGTCTCTTTCAATCGAAGCACCCTCACTCGACATGTGAATCACACATTGAATCCACAGTTGTGCCAGTGTTTCAACGCTGCACTCTGCCGGCTTTTTGTTCCAGTCCTTCTCATTCCAATACAACAAACTCAGATGACTTTTGCGATCTGCCATCTGAATCGAAATCCAACGCAAAGTGCAGACAAAGTGTGGCAGGCAAAGTGCAAAGGCAAACGCTCTCCAATACAGCTCAGCAAAGCAAAGGAGCGAAAATGGGAAAAGTCACCCCATTTCAAATCACGCCATGTTTTCCCGCCACACAGTTCTACAGCGATACCAAAAACCGTTCACCCTTCACCCCCTCAAACAAACTCAAAGAGAGAGAGAGAGAGCGCGACACACACGAGAATACTCGTCTGTGTACACGAGCTGCAGAGGGTCGCTCTGAGAATTTGAATCGAAGGAGAAGGCGTTCAAAAGCGTCGGAGGTCTGCGTCTCTTTCTTACTTTCCGTTGAGCCAGATGGCGTCCGAGGCAAAGTCGGCGCGCGCCATGACGCTGGTCCGTGCGTGGAGCTGGTCTTGGCTCAGCGTGCCAGAGAGCGACGAATTGATGGGCAGAATGAGCTCCTCATCGCGCTTGCCCCCTTGGTCGTCGTCGTCGTCAGTCCACAGTGTGAGGATTGAAGTTTCGCATTGGTTAGTTAGCATTGGAGACAGGGGACATGCACAATCCCCAACCACAGACCAATATGCGTCGATTGCGGATGCTTCGTTGCCCTACAATACTTGATGACGGCAATGTTGACTGGCGCAGTGCAAGTGACGGCGTGCGACATTCGGTTTGTGTGAAAGGATGAAAGGAGGACTGGGAACTGAGCCCAAACAACAAAAGGCTCAGTTGAGGACACCCGAGTCTGAGAAATGAGCTGAGAGAAAGCGGATGAATATGCAAGTAACGCCAAACCTCACTTCACCTCGTCCAGAAAACCAAGCAGAGCAGAGCAGAGCAGAAAAAGCAGAGTGGAACATTCAATCTCGCCCGTCCGTGCTGCTCGTTTCGGGTATCGTCACTCCAGCAGCTCCAATGCTTCGTTCTACTCTCTTACAATATCACGTTCTTTTGTTTTTGACAACGAATTGGCGCTCAGATGACGGCGAATCACGGCGAATTCAATCCTCGCAGTAACAGTATCAAAATAATGCTCCGCTTTCCCCCGCTTCCGCTTATTCTGCGCTCACGCAGTCGTTTTTAAAACCCCACCATTTCGTACCAAAATTCAAAGCTCAGTCTTCTATTCGTTTCAGTTTGGTCTCCCAAATCTCTCGCTTCTCATACAAAAAGCCATCGAAAATGCTGTCGAATCTTGCTCGCCGCCACTTCTCGTCGTCGGTCGCTGCTGCTGCCAAGTCCAAGGTCTACGTCGTCGGCGTCGGCATGACCAAGTTTGTCAAGGTACGGGAAACGAGGAATGGCAGGAAACATACTGATCGTGGTTGGACCTCCCACGAACGAACTGACTTGGCAATCCTGTGTGTGTGTCACTTGTGGAATCAGCCTGGATCGGTGGCCAACTTTGACTACCCGGACATGGTCAAGGAGGCAGGCACCAAGGCGCTGGCGGATGCTGGCGTCCCATACGAAGCCATTGAGCAGGCAAGTTTGAGTCGGCGGTTTCCGTTTCCACCACTAAAAGTCACCCAACAGGTCATTTGCAAGTGGGACAATCACGATGCACACAATCACGAGGCGATCAACGTTCCTATACAGTGCTTGGTAGATATGGGAACAGAGCAAACAATGAGAGCGAAGCGAGATGGCTTGATTGCCACTGGCCATCCTCTACTGACTTTTCCCAATCTCACACCAAAAACAGAGATACATTCTCTCAGACTCACCTTCATGTCATTGCATGTGCGCTGAATGAATTTGCCATCTTTTTTTGCGCCGGCTTGGACCTTTAAACCTCGCAGGCGGTCGCAGGCTACGTCTATGGCGACTCCACTTCGGGTCAGCGCGCCATCTACGGATTGGGCCTCACGGGCATCCCCGTGTACAACACCAACAACAACTGCTCCACTGGATCGAGCGCGCTGATGCTGGCCAAGCAGCTCGTGGAGGGCGGCATTGCCAACTGCGTGATGGCCGTCGGGTTTGAAAAGATGCAGCGCGGATCGCTCGACCTGTCGACCAAGGATCGCGCATCCCCGCTCGATCGCCACATGGCAACCATGGCCAACATCAACAATGGCGTCCTCGAGAAGGCTCCTCCGGCGCCGTGGCTCTTTGGCATGGCTGGCCGCGAGCACATGCAAAAGTACGGCACCAAGAAGGAGTCGTTCGGCCGCATTGCCCAAAAGAACCACAAGCACTCGGTGAACAACGAGTATGCCCAGTTCCGCGACGAGTACACGCTCGAGCAGATCATGCAATCCAAGGCCATCACCGAGCCCCTCACCATGCTCCAGTGCTCGCCCACCTCCGACGGCGCTGCGGCCGCCGTGCTCGTCAGCGAGGCCTTTGTCAAGCTCCACAACCTGCAGGACAAGGCCGTCGAGATTGCCGGACAGGCCATGGCCACCGACATGCCCAGCTCGTTTGGCAAAAGCGCCATGGCGGCTGTCGGCACGGACATGACCCGCAAGGCCGCCACGCAGGCACTGGCGCAGGCTGGTGTCAAGCCGACCGATGTCCAAGTCATCGAGTTGCATGGTAAACGTTACCCGATCGTTGTGGCAAGAGGGTTTCGGGGTCGCATCCCAAGCTCAGTCGTGTTTGTCCCCCTTGTTGTTTTGTTGTTGCGGTTAGACTGCTTCTCCACAAACGAGCTCATCACGTACGAGGGCCTCGGCCTGTGCGAAGAGGGCAAGGGCGCTTCGCTCATTGACAACGGCGACGTGACCTACGGTGGCCGTTGGGTTGTCAATCCCTCTGGTCAGTCACGAAACTAGCGTGTGTTTGTTTTGATGCAATCCACTCACCCTTCCCCCTCCCCCTCTTTTTATTTTGACCTCGATGCTTGTGCTTTCTTGAAATGTAGGTGGGCTGATCTCCAAGGGTCACCCGCTTGGTGCCACTGGCCTTGCCCAGTGCGCCGAGCTCACCTGGCAGCTGCGCGGCACTGCTGGCAAGCGTCAAGTCTCCAACGCTCGCGTCGCTCTTCAGCACAACCTTGGCTTGGGCGGCGCTGCTGTCGTTACAGTCTACAAGCGTTAAGGTTGACGCGACTCTGTTTCCTGTTGCAATTCAATCCAGAAACAAATACAATCTTGGATGAAAAACCCAACTTGCACAAAAAAAGCAATTTTGCTTCATTCATTCCTATAATACACAACTCAAAAATAAAAACAAAGTCCATCAAGACTACGCAACCATCCGCTCGCCATAAAAGTTGGCAGAAAAGGCGGGCGACAATGGAGGCGAGGTGATGAGCTCTTCGCCAATAACCACATCCTCGCTCCCTTGATTGCCATAGCACGCGGGCATGGCGGCAGAGTCTCCAAAAACTTGCACCGACAGCTTGCGCATGCGGAGAATGTTGCGCAAAAACGTTTGCAGGACGACTGGCTCGCTCAGTGCGCCGTTCAAGGCCAAAACCACGCGCTGCTTGCGGTCAAAGTCATACGTTCGCCTGGTGATCTCATTCCAAAGACGGTCGCTCTCGTCACGCAAGGACAAATCAGGCTTGGCCACAGCGTGAACCAACGCCGAATGAACGGCCGCAAATGTTTCGAGCGAGTTGAACGCGGTTTGCGGTTCTGCCCTCTGCTCGGCCTGCAAGACCTCGGGCTCCACGGTAGCGTCAGTTTCGGTGTTGTCAGAGTGGGTGATGGTCGGAACCAGAGTAGGTGCCACAGTCTCCTGTGGCGCCCCGGTTGTTTCTGGGACGGAGCCTGACCCAGTGGACGAGGCGCTTGCAGGCACTCGTGGGGGCAGCACATCATCCAAAAAGGCATCAATGTGCTCCTGCACAACGCATGGCGTGCGATCGCTTTGAACGAGAACGCACAGGGCCTGTGACGAGTACGTTTTCACAGTGGCGAACGTGGACACAATGTACCCGAGAGCATCCTTGGTGCGCAAACGATCGAACGCCGGTTGAGCCAGCGACGAAACCAAGAGCGACATGACGCCTTCAAGCACATGAGCACGAGTGAATCCAGGGAAATCGCCGCCAGCGCTCCGACCCCCCGCGACCGCCAACACGGCTTCTGTCGGCTGCATGGGCAGCGGGAACTGCAGACTGGACAAGGGCTCATCCAGGAAGGATGTGCTAGGGCTGCTTCGATTGAACGGCAACAAGTCAAGGTCGTCCCAAACAGCCTGGAATGTGGCCAAAACCGCAGAGTTGGAGTCGGCCGAATTTGTCTGCGCAAGGCCAGCCACATAGGAGGGGATTTGCGTGTTTGGGACGGGGGTGTCGAGCGTCGCGGGAGCTTCGCTGCTCCGATCATGCAGCAGAATGCCTTGAGGGAGACTTGCAATAAAGTTGGATGTTGTTGTCCCCGTAGCAAAGCCCAGACCTCCCTCGTTGAGTGCCGTCACAAACGCCTCCGAGCCCTGTCGTGCGGTGGATCGATCTACATTTCCGTGCAGCAGCAGTTGTGTGAAACGAGCGGGTCGTGGATTGGCCCGAGCGTCCAGCCCGCGAAACTTGTCAACAAGCGAGGAGAACGTTGGAAAATCAAGTTCCGCTAAATGCTCAGCCTGGCGAAGCGGCAGATAGACGGGTCGCTCGATGGTAGCTGAGAGGATGCTGCGTCCCTGACGCCAGGCATCTGAGAACAGGGCGGCATTGCGCAAATCCTGTTCGAGCTGGGCCTTGACAATGTCAAAGCGTTCCTCAGTGAGTTGCTGGGTTTGAATCAACTGGCCGATGCGCTCCATCAGCGTCGGTGTCTTGTCCGAGTTGCCGTAGGCAGTGACTGAAACTGTTGCACCAAATCCGCAGCCAAGGGAGAAAGAAATGCCAGCGAGCTGCGCATAGTAGCCCTCTGACGCAAACGCGTCCGACATCAACCGTGTGAACAAGACGCAAGCCACTTGCGATGCGACGTTGCTCGAAAAAGCATCAGAGTGGATGAGCGCATTGAAAGACATGAACGGAATGTGAAACACTGGATCCGACTTGAAAAATCCGATGGCCGACGATGTGTTGAGAGCAACCACAGGGTGCTCGCTTGCATCCAAGTCGATGGCAAGCAGTGGAATTTGCATTCTTTCCGGAATGTACCTGTTCAAAAAAAACACCAGCAGCGCCATTGAGACGGGTTAGATCTGGCACCTCGCGCCATAAGCACAAGGTTGTGTGTTGGAAGGTCAAACACTAGCCACATACATGTTGACGCTGGGAATATGCAACGACAGGCTTTCGTTCGGCGTTTCGCATAGGGTTGTAAAGTTATTCGAGCCAAATCCGTAGCGCAATCCCACGTAAATGTCGTCAGATTGATCCGCCTGGTCGGCGACCAAGGAGCTCACCACTTGCAGCAACATGTTGTCGCATGTCAAGTACGAGTACAAGGATGCGATGGCAGTCGGATCTGAATTCCAGGGCGCGGCCACAAACAAAAAAAAAGGGGGGGATTAGTAGTTAGCCGAAAAAAAAAAAAAAAAAGTCAGCACGACAAACACCCACCCAACCCCCTTCCCGACATAGTCGTACCAAAGCACTGGCGAGACGGAGCACCAAGAAGCTCCTCGGAAGATAGCTCTTTCAGCATGATGGCAGAGAGTCCCGCAGCCAGAGTGGCGGGCGAAATTTGGGATTGGTACTCAAACAACTGACTGTCGGCCGTCTTCGTCTCTTGGAACAGCCGTTCAAACTCGGACGCATTCTCTGTCGGGTTGGAACGCCGGAGCATTTCGGCGACCACCCCAACAACCTCGTTGATGGCAGTCACGCCTTCGGGAGTCAGAGAAATATCGATGGCCAGCAGCGCGAAATCGGCGTACGAGTTCACATACGCGCTGAGTCCCGTCGCCCAACCCCGCTCTCGCAGCAGGGAGAGGGCACTGCCAGAAGACTCGTGGCCGAGAAGATTGGTAAACGCAGTCCCGGGTTGGATGCGAGGATTGCCATCGACCAGGCTGGACGGCACGGGCCATGAGAGGACTGCACGGTGAATCTCGGACACGGGTACTTGGTAAACGGTGCCTGGAAGCTGACCGGGAAGAAACGGCGCTGGTCGCGCGGCATGCAGAGGCTTGGAGAGGTCGACATCTGGACGCTGACTGCGTCGCGGAACTTGATCAAAGTATGTGTGCGCCAAGCCTTCGAGCTCGTCCAGCGTATTGTTGCCGAGGACAACAAGGCGGGCGTTTTCCGCGTGGTAGAAGGTGTTGTAAAACAGGCGGAGCTGGACTGTCGTGTTCAACCCAAGGGCCGCAGGTTGGTCTTGCAGCGTGGCAGCGCTGCCTGTGGAAAACCAGGCGAACGGATGGCTGGGGTTGGCCGCAAGTTTGGAGACGCGATCCATACGCCATTCGTCATTGTTCATGTTCTTGCTGTGCTCGCTGTTCACTGCGTAGACCTCGCGCGCCTCTGACGTGGACAGAAGCAGCGGGGCAATGAAAAACTGCGCAAACCGGTCCAGCGCACCCTCCAGCGCAGGAGCATCAAGCTCAAAGTGGTACACTGTGCGCTCTTCTGCCGTGTAGGCATTAAACACGCCATGGTACAACGCCAGGTACTGTTGAAAGCGAAAGCGAAAGCAACAGCAAAGATAGAGAGAAGTGGGGGGTGTGAGACGGATTCCGCAACCAACCTATCGCGCTGTAAAAGCTCAACTAGACATGCTCGTACCTGCTCGTAAGCGTCTTCGCTGGGATACTTTTCGGTGCCAAGAAACAGCATGTGTTCCAAGAAGTGGGCTAGACCAGGCAGCTCTGGTGGATTGTCAAACGAGCCGGCGCCAATCGCAACAGCTGCTGCAGCAGTATGCGTGGCGGGGTCTGACACGAGCAGCGCTACCAGGCCATTGGGCAGCTGAACCATTCGGTATGCCTTGCGGTCGTTTGGCGACTGGAGAATGGCCGTGTTTTCAAAGATGGCATTCAAGCTGTCTTGCCCAGTCGGGTCGAGTTTTAAAAACTCGCACACAGTCACAGGCGTGGTTGCCGACTCGGTGGCATCGCTGGCAACGGTTTCGGTCCGAGACGGCTGAGTGCTTGGTGGAGCGGTCGTGCGAGTTACAAAATCGGCCGACTGGCTAGACGAGCCCAAGCTTCCCGTGGTAGAACTCGAGCCACTTTCCGACGACTGTCCATTGGACGGTATTCCAGGGGTCGCCGAGCTGGTCGCGGACGGTAGGAACGGAGAAGAACTCGGAGTGCTTGAGCGCGGGTTTGACCATGAGGACGACCATGACCATGACGACGACCATGACGACGACGATGACCACGACTTGCTCTCATTGTTATTACTGCTATTGTCGTTTGTCGTGGAGGAGCCGTTATCACGCAGCAAAACCGCGCCAACGACAGCAGCGATGAGCACGACGACCAGAATTCCGAGCACTGCGACCAAGCGGCGCATGTTCTGCGTCCACCTCGACGACGGCAGCCAGTACCCACGCCCGTTGGAGCCAGCGTCGTCGTGGCGGCCACTTGCGAATGGATTGGCTCTGCTTGCACCGCGGGTTGCGCTGGAGCGGGGGTCGCCACCAAAGACGAGCTCGTCCTCGTCCTCTCCGTTGAGATCAACCTCATAGTCGTCGTCGTTATCATCATCATGAGTATCATGAGTATCATTGCCGGCGTTTCGATGGTCGTGCTCGCTGTCGTCGCCAGTGGCAAGGCGGTTGTACGACCGGCGTTGGTGCCGGCGATCCAGCGGCCGAAGCGCCACTGCGAACGGATTGTCGTCCCATTCCATGATGAGACAGGACGAAACGCAGCGAAAACGAAAACGAAGAACAAACGGGACGACGAAACTGGGATCAACGAAAAAGGAGGAGGGTTGAGCAAGTGACAAAAAAGAATAGAAAGACTGAAACGAGACCTCTGTGAGGTCGATACAGTGAGCAAACGCGATTCGTCTTTAGCTTTTGATTGTCTTTCGATTATTTTTTTTAATCGCTCTTGAGCTGTGGACCATTCTTCTGAATACACCGTTCGTCTTCATTATTGTTTCGCTTTTCTGATTTACTGCTTGTCATTTTATGCGTTGTCCGAATTAAGAACGATCGTCAGTCTCGTTTTTTTTTTTTTTCTTGTTTTCTTGTGAGTTCCTTCCTCTTCTTCTTGTTCTCCTTCTTCCTCTTCTTCTTCCTCTTCTTCTTCCTCTTTCTACTGTTGTTGAGATGATGAGAAAAAGTATTTTAATATATCAATCAGAAAGAGCTCGACAAGCCACCTCAATCCGGTTTGAATGAGAACTACGATACAGACCTGTCCTGAATTCAACAACCCTTTTCTTTTGCCTTTCTCCCTTTTCCTTGCTGCTGCTTCGTTGGGTTCTGTTGTGCTCACCCTTCATTCTGCTCTTGTTCCTTCGTTCTCTCTTTCGCTCTTGCGTCGCTCTGTTGCTTTCGCCTTTTGGATAGACATTCAAGCATGGCGACCATGCGGTAGATCTCGCGATCTTGCCATTTCGCCTGGTGTTTTTTTTTTTTTCCATCGCTCTCTTCATCCTGATTGTCTGCCCCTGCGAGCGTCAAGCTTCCGCTCCATGCAGACTCAAGTGCTACGATGACGTTTGCTCATGACGCTGCTGTGATCTGCGCGTCTGCTCTCGTCCTCAAGAAACTTGAACTTTTTGTTCAAAAGGTAATGCTCGACCGCGTGGCTTTTTTTGTTTTATTTTATGATTTTTATTTTTCTATTGATTTTCCATTGAGGAAATTTTTCTCCTTCTCTTTCTCGTCTTCTTCCTAAAGTGATGACAACCGTGGACCATTTTGCTTGGGACGCTTGAGGAAACAAAAACGCCTCACTCTGGATGATGAGCAAAACACTAAATTTTCAGCCTTGTCTGATCCAAACTCTTTTACCTTTCTTTTCTTGCCTGTTTTTTTTGTTGGACTTTTGTGATGTCTCGTTCTCACAACATTGCTGTGTTTCTTGTCAATGTAGTGTGCACAGGCATCGTAACTCGTGCCACGGGCGACGTCGAAAGGGCACCACAATTCACGGAAGGTAAAACCATTTTCACGATCGCACTCTTCAGTTTCTTCCCCCAATCTTTGTATGATGACAAAAACAGAGACGGGCGGACAGACAACTCCGTGGTGAATGTCTCTTTAATGCCTGTAGCTTGACCGCTCGGGCTCCGGGCTGACTCTTACTTTTCCAACAAATCTCCAAATTCACGTTTGTTGTTCCCTGTGTGACCTGTCTTTCTCACGTTCGTCATCTTTCAATTGTAGGTATAATTGTGGCATCTCCACTTTGGACTTGGTTACCAAGCAAGGTCGGCTGCAATTCTGCGTTCATGTTCAGGTACATAACGGCCCCTTTTTACATTGCCTTTTTCTTTCCCCCTCCTCCTTCCGTTTTTTATGATGAAATTGTTATGCACTAGGAAAAGCCGTCTGAACAAGGGTTCCTCACAGTCCCTTCACCATGACGCAATATATAACGCGCTGAGACTTTTTACTTTCGTTTTTTCAATTCTGCTGAACTTTCTCTCCCATCGTCCTGTCATTGAACTGTCTTGTTCTGACGTTTCTTCTTGCTTGTTTTTTGTATCTTTAGATCGTTGACGCGACGTGTCTCAACCGCTTGCACTGCACTCTCTTCTACTTTGCGGTAAGTCAAACTTGAAAACGCATCATTTTGTACAAGAAAAGTCAAATAAACAATCAAAAACAAAAACCATCAGTGAGCATCAGTTATTCAATCGCAGTTCGCTAGCTTCTGGTTGCGTTGGTGCGTCAGACTCCGCCACGCTTTTGGCAGCATTGAGCGCCGATTCGCGAGTCGTGCGGGCTGGTAACGAGTTGATGCGGCCACCTGGTCGGAAGGCGAGATTGTTCTTGCTTTCGTCATTGTCCAGCAATGGGCGGGGCGCAGCTGGAGGGAGATGGAAACTGTGCCGCACCTTGGCCGGATCGGAGGGTGCAATGATGGGTCGGTTCCGGAATGTCGCTGACGGAGATTGCGGAGGGGAGAACAGGTTGGACTCGCTCTTGCTGAAATTGGAAGCAGACCCTGCAAACAACGACCTGCGCACCTGTGGGGAGGTGGTGGTTCGAGGGCTCGTGACTTCAGTGGCAGAACTCGCATCCGACTCGATCGGAGTTGTCTTCGATGACATTAGTGAGCTGGCGCGCTGGCGTAAAGGGTTTGGCAACGAATTGGGAGTTAAAGCAGCCTTCTCTTCAAGTGCAGGGGTTGCGGGCGCGGTTGGCGTCACTTGCCCAGCCTCTGGATTTTGGTTGAACTGTTCCGGAGCCGGATTGCCCCGGGAGAGAGACAGCAAAGCCAGCTGCCGTGCCACATCGTCAGTGATGGATTGTCGTGTAGTTTGCAACTGTTCCGTGAGAGCGGTGGACAGTGTAGCAACGGCAGTGTCCATCGCAGTTTGTTGCTGCTCACTCAACGTTGCGGCGAGCTCCAATTGCGACTTTGCCACCCATTGCTGCAAATTGTTCGCCCATGTCGTGAGCGCGTCGTCCAGGGCAGTCTGCTGACCTTCAATCAGAGCTGCGGCTCGCTCAGATTGCGACTTGGCGACCGATTGTTCAAGGTCTGCGACGAGCGAACGTTGGACGGGTGTCAGCTGTGCTTCGATTGCATCAATCACTCGAATCTCAGCGTCGTGACTTGTCTTGTTCAACGCTTCCTGGAGCGAGACGAGTTGATCGGACAACGCGTTGGCTAAATGATTGCGCATCGATTCGCCGACGCTGGAGGTATGCTCACTGGAAAGAGTCTCCAGCTTGTGCTGCAAAGCCTCCACGGCAGTTTCAAGTTGCTGAACGCGCGTTGTCGAATCTTGCTGCAGCTCCGTGACGGCCCGCTGAAGATTGGCACTCAAACTCTCAAATCGCAAGCTAGCGTCACGGTTTGAAGAAGCGATTGCCTGGATGTCGGCGCGCAGTGCTAGGGTTGTTTGATTCAAAGCGCCAGTGTCAAAATCTGGCGAACGAGCAAGCAATTCTCGCTGAAGCTCAGCAATTGCGGAATGGAGTTGGCTGATCGAGCTGTCCAACTGCAACTTTTCGGCATGCTTGGCAGAACCAAGTGCTTGTAGCTCGGCGAGCATGTCAGAAATGCCTTGTATCAGCGGGCGCGTGTCAATTTGTTGCATCCGAGCGCCCATTTCTTGTCCAAGTTCCGCAACCAAGCACCGAAGCATGGACACGGAAGCTTCCTGCTCGGCTTTTTGCGAGGCCGCCATTGCCTGAATGGCTGCTCGTGTGACAGTAGAGCTTTGCTCAAACATACTCTGGATGGAACGCTCCAACTCGGCGTGTTTGGCGCCAATGTGCATCAGGCTTGTTTGCGCTTGAGTCGCTGCGACCGCAGTTTCTTCTCGAAGAGCTTTGTTGCTTTCTAGCAGCGTAGTTTGCAGCATCCCAAGCTGGTCTGCCATTGCAAGTCCTTGCTGCGAGAGCGCGTCGGCAATCCCTTCACGAATGAGGTGCTGGATCTCTCCCTGCTGAAGAGACGGTGGTGTCCGATTGCGCTCCAGCTCGGCTTGCCATGCCGCCGTCTGTTCGCGTCCTATTCGCTCCAGCTCCGCTTGGTGCTGCAGAAGCATTGCAGAAAGCAGTGTTGCGGTGATGACCTCGTGCTTGCCATTCGTGTGAACTGGACCCTCTGCGGGCTCCTCTGACTGTACCCGAAAGCTACGCTCGATAGCCACAACCCATGTGCTGATAACACGCTTGGGCGCGAGCATGATGCTGGGAGCGATTGTGGACCAGGCTTTCATCACAGCGCTCACAAGAATTTCAGCAGGGTGCATGAAAGGCGAAACATCGGACTCGCCATCTGCCGCGTTCCCACAGCTCGGATGAGACCAATCAATGTCCTGATCTTGACTGAATGCATCCTCTCGTGAAAGTTGCTCTACTTTGGATGCAGCGGTTGTGCTTGGTGCTTGGGAATCGCGTTGCGAATGCTCAGAAGTTGGGATGGACTCGGCATCCTTGCTCAATGCGCTATCGTCCATGGTGCCCACTCGGTTTACTACTTGTAGTCGATCGCTTTGTTCTGGGTCTGCAGCAGCAGCAGCAGCACTGGCAGCATGCTCCCGAATCCAGTTGTTTGCCTTTGGTATCCAATCCGCAATCGCGCTTCGGACGTCACTGCTGGTCAGTGCACCCGCCACGAGCGCAGACAAGACGCCAGCGGCAATCGCAGTGCCCCAGCCAGCATCTCCGCCTGAGCCTGAGCCTGAGCCTGACGAATTGGCTGTTGCGGTTGCGGTCATTGCGGCAGAATTCAAGTGAGATTGCTGCACGAGCGGCACTTGAGGACCCTGCGCGCCGAGCCAAGACGCGATGTGCCAATGTGGACAAGTGCAATGCAGTGCGCGTGGATGCTAAAGCCAGGCGCGGGACGAGTGCAGTTGGGACGAGCGCACCTCCAAATTTGAAGCTGCTGGAGCTGGCTCGCATCCCCAACCAACCAACCACCAGCACCCAGCTATCTGACTCTTTTTGCCCAGAGCAAGCCCGGAGGTCTGGAAGAGTTAGAAGACGAATGCAAAACGAGATTAGGTGCTGGGGAGTGGCGGAAAGCCAACAAAACCAAAAACAAAAAACAAATAGAAAACTGAAGAATTGACGAAAATGCTCAGAATTGACCCGAAACAAAATAAAGTCCGATTTCAACAAGCAAACAACTCGAGACCCGAGGAGGACGCAGTCACCAGCAAGGGCTCCCCAAACGATGTGGATCCGATAGAAATGCGATCGACAATGCCCGTGTCGCTGCGCTCGAGTGTTTTGACCAGTCGACCGGAATCAATGTCCCAAATTCGAACGCGGCCATCTTCGCCTCCGGAAGCGACAATGGCCTCGCACGGATCGGTCGCAATTTCAAGGGGTAGATGTGTGTTGACGTGCTCTTGGTACTCGCAAATGCTGTGCCGCGGCATTCTTGCATCCCAGAGACCGAACTGTTGACAAAAAGAGTACACGGGGTGAGCAAACAAACAGAAGGACCGTGTGGTGAAAAAGGCAACGAACATACAGTGCCGTTATTGGAGGCTACTAGTAGCTGGTTTTGGCCGCGATCGAGGGCTTTGAGCCCACAGATACGACCACCAATCGCGCAGATGCGTTGAAACTTGCCGGAACGCATATCGTACAACCTCACCACGCCTTCTGTCGTCAACCCAGCATACAACGAGGAAGGCTGCATTCGACAGTAGTACAAGCAACGCAATTGAGAAGGAAACGCCCTAACACCCAAACGCCCAAACGCAAACTGTGGCCAAGCATCATGGCGTCTTACCATCTGTGGCTCGCTCTGGAGAATTGCTACGTCCACACCATCGGTGTCGTTCATTTTAGTCCAGACACTGTTTCGCGTCAAATCAACAACATAAATGCCTTGTCCACCACCTGCCGAGAGAACGAGAACCAGAAGCGAAAGTCAGCAGAGCAACAGCAACCATTGGACGCCATCGGCCATGTTCTTACCAACGAGCATTCGCGGCACAAAGTGGCGATCATAATCCAAACTCAGTGCTGCGCCAGCGTGCAGCTGCTTGGACATTGAGACGGTGGGCCAGTCGCTTTGCTCGTCGAAAAAGATCAAGCGTGCGATGGACATCAGGGGTCGGGAGAGCTGCACCGCGCCGGACATTTGGGTGGATATGGAAACACGGCTGCGGTTGCACATGGCAATTTCGACGTCAATGCCGGGGCAGCACCAAGCAAACAAGTCCATTCCGTGACTGAGCTGCGACCTGGCCAGCGCTTCATGGACGGCCTCGTTGTTGGTTTGACGATTGACATGTGTAGCTGCGGTTCTGCTTGTGTGACTCGCATTGTAGTCGCATGTCTCATCCATGGAAGTGGATTGTCTCAGACCCAAGGCGGCCGGACTCCAGCGGATGCAAGAAACCGGGGAGAACGAACTGTTTGCGTTGTAAAGTTCGGTTGTGAAGGGCAAAAAGTAGTCTGACGGCTCCGTAGTGTGGTGCTCGTGGCTTCCCGCATGCTTGCCTGGGATGAGCCATTCAGCTTGGCGGATGTCTTCAAAGTGGTTGTCTTGCGTGTCGGGAATTCCAGCCGTCTGCCCTCGCCAGTTCAGCATCCACAACGCCAGCCTATTGCCAACACCAACCGCGAGCAAGGTGTCGCCCGCATCACCTTCGCAGCTCGGTGCAAACTGAACGGCATGGTACCGGTTGTTGGAGTTTTCCGAGCAGGTGGCACTCCGCCGACGGCATGCCACACTTTTGAGCAAACTGGCAGGTTGTGATCTGAATTGTTGTGTGTGGGGGTCGAATGAGACGATGATTGAGTGAAACTTCCACACCTCTGAGCAGAACCGTTCGCGACAAGAAACAACAAAGCGAACAAGTACCTCTCAGGAACAACGTTCAAAGCGCGAGAGCGCATTCCGCTTGGATCCAGCACCTCGCGCAACGCGGTTCGCGTGGCCATGTTGCACTTTTTGGTGCGGTTACTGATGAGCGGCCTGTGGAGACTTCCAAGTGATGTCATGCAATCGGGTTGGTTGCTCAGCAAGTTTGCCTCGCGGTGTTTGTCATGATCGGCATCGCGTTGTCGTTGGAGGTGTTGCGCCTCTTGTACTGGAAGGGTAGGAGGTGCGCCGCCTGGTGGCAGCACAAAGTACCGTTGTTTGACGGGATCGTAGTAGAATCCTGGCAACGCAGGCGGCATGGCTTTGGTCGAAAACAAACCAAAAACAGAAGAAAACAAAAGAGTGAGTCGGTTTTTCGATGTTCAGTATGCCCACCAACAGAATGCTGCTTCCAACAATGAGCATGCAGCTGACGTCAGCGAATACATGTATATCTTATACCTTGACGGCCTGTTGACGATGATGGAGACGTGGCGGGAGTCGAGGATGTCGACGTGGAGGTCTGTTTGTGTACACGCGTCGCTGCCACGAGGTCCTTCCAGATCGGATGCATGCAGAGCTTGAGTTTGCATGGAGATTTCCATTGCGAGGTTGACACCGTTGGCTTTGTGTTGCTCGCGGGTGCAGCGGTTGGTTCGCCTCGTGTTCCATCATGGCGATGAAGATGACGTCCTCGACGGCGTTGCGCCTCTGCGAATATTCTCGAGTGTGCGTGTCCTACTTGTTTGGATCCTGACGCATCGCGATCTGCATGGGTGCGTCGCAGCGGCTGAGCAGCAGCATTCGCATTGCCAGAGTGATGACCAAACGCCGACTCGTGCGCAGCCGCTTCATTCGCCAGTGTGCTCGATGCGCTGGCTCTGGGCAGGCCTTGGCTTGATGCATTGGGATGCCTGTGGCGCGGTGGTCCAGCGGCAGTAGGATAGTGAGACTTGGCGCGCTTCATCCTGAACTGGGCTCGGAGGCGCACGAGCGCAAGTGGGAGCGTTTGGGACTGATCTGGATTGGATTTGTCATACAAGGCTGATCCATAGACAATTCGATACACGTATACCTGGCCTTGGGGAAGGGGATACTGTATCAGAGCGAGGGGGATGCTCAAACCAGGCGAAACCGAGACAATCTGAGCGCTCGAGTTCTCAGAGTGCCTGAGCCTTGAGCCTTGCACTGAGTTGCATCCCCCTTCTACTCTAACAACAACACCACCACCACCATTTGTTCTGTTTGTTTGACGCTGTTGTTCAGTCGTTTCTCTGCTCTCCAATGTCAAAGTATACGAAACTGTCGACTGCGGACGACAATCTCGACCACGGCCATGTAAGGCGACCCAACAACCTCAACGACTGTTGATACAAGTTTTTTGTTGCTTTGATGTTCAGCAACCCTCACTGTTGTGATGAGCAGATGATGTCTGGCAATGACATGGAGCTGGACTTGATGGAAGCAGGCCGCAAGCACAAAGGCGGCTCAACGAACGGCACCACCGCCACTACATCACCGCCGCAGCACCGTGGACAGGCGAGCAAGAGCGGTGGCAAGCCAGGGACGAGTGCTGCCAATGGAGCGGCGGCGCGGTCATCACGCACTGGTGCGCGAGGTCGTCCTGCTCACAATGGAAGCAGCAGCAGCAGTAATAGCTCAAGCGACGACGACGATGACGAGGAAGAAGTCGTGTTCAGCTCGACTCCCGCTGCTGCTGCTGCTCGAAATGCGAACGGAAAGAGCAAAGCAGCGGCGTCTGGGAGCCGTGCGAGTGGCAAGCGACGCCGAACTGCTGCTGCTTCTGCTTCTGCTGTCAAACCGGGTCGTTCTGAGCGGTAATTGACAAGTTCCAAACATGGAAGCATAAATTTAATTGTAGGGTCGGGCAAGTGACCTCTTCTGTTGCTCACTTGCTTGGAATGGGTGTCATTCTGCAATGAAAATACTCGTCGCAGGAGATCGTCGTCGTCAACCTGCTTCAACTTGCTCGTCGTGCTGTGGAACCTGGTCATCTTGGGCGCCATCCTGGGACTGGCCCTCGAGCTGGTCAACGTAATCAGTAGCATGGAAGACATGCGGCGCCAGATTGCAGAACGTAAGTCCCTACAAACCCACTTGGGAATCATTTACATGTACTGACCTCGTCTTGGAACAAACCTCAACCCAACCGGGGGTGGGAGCTTACAGTTCAGGCAGCAGAGCGAGCCAGACAAGACCAACCAACGTCGCCCGGAGATATCTCCCCGGGCTCCACCGTGCAGACGCAGCTCGCGGATTTGTCCGAAAAGTACTTTTTGCTTCACGGCGAATGGACTGTGGCCAAGGACACGCTCGAGTTTGTCAACGACGCGGTCGCTCTGTTTAATGCGACAATCGTTCAGCCCGACTCCCCTCGTGGTCTGCAGATTGCGAGTATCGCGGAACAGCTCGGCGCGACCACCACGCTGTCTCGATCCAACGAACAGCGCTCCAACCAAAATGCCGAAGCGATCTCTTCCATGCAAGAGACAGACGCGGAGCTCCGAAAGTCGATTGACGACAATGCGAGAAACGTGGCGGATGACTTCCAAATCGTCCGGCACGAGTACCAACAGATTTACATTAACAGCATTGTGAATCTCACGAGGCGGGTGGATACAGTCGAGGCGTTGGTGGCCACCACGAACTTGAACGATGTTGCCCAAATGGTCGACGGCGTGCTGGCGGATGTCACAAGCGCCAAAGCAACGGTTGCTCAGCTTTCGAGTGTTGTCGAGGCGCTTCCAACCGACCTTGGCACTTTTATGCCCTTGATGAATGACATGAACACCCGGCTCACTGAGTTCGGGCAAATCGCAGAAAACGACAAGAGTCTCGTCAAACTGCTCGAAGAGACGGCCACCTCCGCGCAGAACGAAGCTCGGATAAACGCGAATAGCATCAGGAATCTTCAAGACCGCGTCGGTACTCTTGAGGAGTGGCGCAATAGACAGTCAGAGTAATGTCCTTGTGGATGGTATTGTTGTATATATGTCAATCGGTTGATGCGAACGGGCAGCCGCCGCGTTGTTGAATTTTGTTTTCTTGCTTTGATAGTGACCTCTCTGTGTGTTGATTCTTGTGGTGGTTGTATGTTGTGATTTACTTCTGCTTTATTTCCTGCTTAATATAATGACAATGTTGCGGATTACGGACTGGGTGGCTCCCACAGATTGCTGAAAGTGGTTTTGTCAAAATGTTGTCAAACAGCTTCCCGCTGGTGGTTGTTTCAGCCGCTATTTCACTTGCTCCCACCCTCATATCATGCAAATTATGCTTGTAAATATTCTTCATGATCGATTGCTATCGGATTGGCCCGCGGTGGTAGTTGGATTTCCGCGGAATGGCGAGGTAGGTTTGCAATTGAGGAAAGAGCTTGCAGTTGGCCAATAATCCGACCGCTCCTAACGTTGTTGGACTGTCCATATCAATTACTTTGTATTTAATCCATTTTGTTGTTTGAGAATCCGTGATTTCTATTTTTGAGACCCGTCAGATCCGAGAAATGTTGTTCTTTTAAAAAATACCTGCAAGAGCTCATTCAATCATGGAAAAAGCAGCTTTTGATGAAAAACGTTCGCACCCACACGACACTCACTCAGTCTGATTCAATCATTCGCTTGTAAATTAATTATGAACGAACGAGACCTCAATCTCGACCACGTCAAGCAAAACGCTCAATCGCTCAAAACTCGTCCTGTTTCATCCTGCCAATTCAGATTTCGACTCACCTCACGCAGCTCACTCCCCCCTCCTCCGTTTGTTCATTTGATATATCGTTCTCCATTTTTAATTTCCGCACCACCTCAGTCTTTGATTGTCTTCTTAGAATTCGCACAATGGCACTCACACCAGAGCAAATCAAGCAGGTATGAAAAAGCGCTTGCTCGGCGTTTCAGTCAGGCGACGCTGCTCCGCGTTCCTTACAATGCAGTGACATCCAAGCAAAGGACAACAAAGCGAGGCTGGATTGGAGTAGTGGAGTGAATGGGGTCATCAGCACTGAGATTTCCATTGGAAAAACTCCATTGATTGACGCATCACGAATGATGTCCCATGCACTCAAACCTCACCACCAACGCCTTGGCAACTCATTGCGTATTGCTCTGCTCTGTGGTCCCTATTGCTAGTTCAACGAGGACGGCTATCTGATTCTGCCCGACTTTTACACGCACGCAGAGTGCGACGTGCTGCGCGAACGCATCCAAAAGCTCATCCACGAGCAGCTCGACCTGTCAAACCACCCGCGGACCATCTTCTCAACGTCGACGCAGACAAACGACAACTACTTTCTCAACAGCGGAGACAAGATTGCGTACTTTTTCGAGGAGCAGGCGTTCGACGCAGCGGGCAATCTCGCCGTCCCGGTCGACAAGTCGCTGAACAAGATTGGCCATGGTACGTGAGCAGAGACATTCAAGGACAATATTGAAAACATGTTTGCAGGGTTGTTGGGGTGGTGGCGTTGCTTTTGCTTTTGACTGGCGGCATTGGCTCACACCAATCTCACTCTCGCACTGATTTCCCCCCCGTTTCCGATTTCCTTTTGCTACTCAGCGCTGCACGAGCTCGATCCGGACTTTAAAAAGTTCACCACCACCAACAAGGTCAAGGAGCTGACGCGCTCGGTTGGATTCAAGCGACCTGTCGTTGCACAATCCATGTACATTTTCAAGCAGGCAGGGATTGGAGGTGAAGTTGTGCCCCACCAAGACAGCACGTTCCTGCACACGTCGCCGTGCACCATCATGGGCTTCTGGGTTGCGCTCGAGAACTGTGACCTGGATAACGGCTGCCTGTGGTTTGTCCCCGGCTCGCAAAAGGACGGATTGCACCGACGCTTTGTGCGCGATGCTTCTGGCACTGGCACGCTGTTTACTGCCCCCGCTGTCATGTACCCTGATGACAAGTTTATTCCCGGCATCGTCCAGAAAGGTTTGTTCCAGCCTTTGCTCTTTTTCTTCCCATGTATTGTCTACCACTCAACGCTTTTGTTATATCATTCTGGTTGTTTCAGGTGGCCTGGTGCTCATTCACGGTGAAATCATCCATCGTAGCGGCCCAAACAATACATCTCGCTCTCGTAACATCTACACCTGGCATGTGATGGAGACCGAGAACGTGGCGTACAGCCAGGACAACTGGTACGAACTTTTGTTTGTCTCCCTCGTCGCAAACGATGAATCTCGGTTGAACTCTCATTCTCTCTATATTGTGTGACTAGGCTTCAACCCGAGCCCAAAATGACGCTCTATGACGCGTAACGAGACACGTTGGTCTGCAAGAGAACAAAACAGAAAAAAAAAAAAAAACACGACAAGACTTTGGCCGTTTTGTACTCGACGATAGACCACGATAGACCACGATTTTGATCGCATGTTTATTGCACTAATCTGAACGACGCTACGAATACCCACAATGCATCAAAATGCTCACGACTCGTCCTCCTCAACCTCAGTGTCAAAATCTCGCGTCGCGTGCGGGTTGGTTTGCTTTTTGAGTTTGCGAATGTTCACGTTTTGGTAGACAGTCACGGCAACGAACTCCGTCTCCGGGAAGCGGCGCGTCTCGACCACACGCGGGGCGTGGGTGACAGAGTCGACTTGAACGACGTGGAAGTGCAGCACATACTTTTGGAATGTGTTCAAGAGAACATTTCCCGTCTCGTTGAAGGTGTTGGTGACGCGAACTCGAACAAACGAAACCTCCTTTGCCATCCATGCCTCACCGGTGGCGGGCGAATCTGGGTGGGTGCACAACGTTGGCAGCAGCGGAAGCGCGATGCGGCCGTTCGGCTGCCATTCTGCATTGGCGTACTTCCAGCGCGTGCTGTCGACTGGAGAAAGCTCAAGAATGACAGTGTACTTGGCGTCGGGTTGCAGCCCGGTCAAACGAATCACTGGGTGCGGGAACAGACAGCGCCCTTTCTTGGTGAGAATCATTTCGGTGCCCAGCTGGTGGAACTGCTCCCAAAGATCTTTGCCAACCAGCTCGATGCCAATCGTGGACGGTGGAGGCAGGGGCAGGCCTTCGGAAGAAAAAGATGGACGGAGCATGTTGTTGTTGTTGTTGGATGCAAACGAGCCCATCGGAGTGGTGAGCATGGCGCCACTTGCGTTCTGGTCTTGGTCCAGGCCCTGTGCTGCTGCTGCTGGGGGATAGGTTTGAGAACTCGTGGCAGGTGCCGCAGAGCTCTCCATGGAGGGGAATGGATGGCCTGACGAGCCAGACATGCTGCGCGTGACGCGGCGCCCAGAGGCAAACTGCGCGACGCCACCCGACGAGTTGGCGGACAGTGTCATTGAGGGATCCAGTCCTCCAAATCCACTAAACGAGGCAAACAGGTTACTGGCAGACGGCTGCGCGGCAAACCCTCCCGGAAATCCACCCCGCGCAGAGTAGCTATTCCTGACCGAATTGCTGGGGAGCGGGGGCGGACTGATAGAAGGGTTGCGCCGCAGGTACCGGCGTCTGCATCTGTTGGTTCTGTTGGTTGTAGAATGGCTGCTGCTGTTGCTGCTGAGTGTGCCCGAATTGTTGATACGGTGCTTGCGGCTGAAACTCTTGAAGCTGTCGCTGCTGTTGCTGCTGCTGCTGCTGCTGCTGCTCTTGCTGGAATTGCTGCTGTCGCACCTGCAACTGTTGCAAGGTGGGCTGTGGCATCGGGGCAACGCCAAACTGCGTGCCAATCGGACCAAATCCGAACTGCGTGGCCATCGGCACATCGCGTCTCCCGAGTCCGAGCGAGCTCAACCCTCCAGAAAGACTGCCTTTCAGATCCGACAGATGCATGACGGACTCACGCGAAAACGGAAGAGCATTCGGGTCGGCAAACGAGCTGAGCCATTGGGCCAACGGCTGGCTGTCCGCGAGAGAAAACGAGGAAGCGTTGACACTGGCCGAGCCTGCAAGGCCTCCGGCGCCAAAAGTGGCCAACAGCGACGGAAACGACTGCGCTGACGCACTAAAAACGTGGGTGAGCTGGTTTTGCTGCGATCGCCAGGGCTGCGTTTGTTGTGGTTGGTCGAGCGGCTGCTGTTGTTGTTGTTGCAGTTGTTGTTGTTGTTGCAGTTGCTGTTGCTGCTGTTGTTGCTGATACTGCGCCTGGTGCTGCGGTGCGTGGGGTTGGTGAAGCGCCAGCCCATCCTGACTGGTGATGCTTCGACGTGTGCGCATGGGATGCGACGACATGACTGGCGGGCTTGCATCATTGTTCTGCAACTGCAATGGAGAGGGAGTGGTGCGCATGTGTGCGGATGGAGCTGGAGGGACCTCGAAACTGGCAAACCCTCCAAAGAGGGTCGAATTGGGTGCAGCAAACATTGAGTTATCAGGCCCAGCCAAGGTGTCCCCCCTGTGCTGAGCCCCGGACAAGCGACCACCGTGGCGTCGCTGGCCCAAAAGCCGCGCCTTTTCTTGAGCTTGGGGTGAGGTTTGCGCAGCGGCGGCGGACGCTGCTGCTGCTGCTGATGATGATGATGCTGCGGGAGCCGATCCAGTGGTCGTCGATTCTGCCTCCTGTTTGACGGCTGCGACAGCCCCATTGGTGGTTGGAAGCGCATTGGAAGGGGCATTGGAGCTGGGAGGCAAGCTCAGCAAGCCAAGCTGGTGGCTGTGGGCGGCGGCAGCAGCCAGCGCAAACGCAGAAGACGATGGAATGATGCCCAGCACCGAGTTGGAGCTCCCCGACCGCAGGCTGTCGGCGTTATGCAGCAACATCCGGGACGGGTTGCCACCGGTGATTGTCGAGTCGGACGGCTGTGCGAACGAGGTGCTGGGTGCTTGAGTTTCGGCGAGTGCAGCCGCCGCCGCGTTTTTAAACAAGCTGAAAGTAGAAGCGGAGGGATTGATCGAGTTGCCGGATTGCAAAAAGGCGGAATTGAACAAGTTGAGCTCATTCTGGAGAAAGTCAAATTGGCTACCAGAGATGAGATCTGACTGTTGAAGGAGCCCGTTGCTGTTGCTGTTGCTGTTGCTGTTGCTGTTGTTGTTGCCGTTGCCGTTGTTGTTGCCGTTGCGCGGTGGAGATTGCCGCTGGGTGTCGAGACGAATGCGCTTTGCCCGATCGTCCTTCGCTTCTCTGAACTGCGGTTCTTCGTCCGTCGAGCCAGAATCGGCAGAGGCGACAGCAGCACCAGTTGGGCGCCGCTTGTTACCTTTGCTCTTTGCAGTTCCAGTCGTGGCGGCGGCGGCGGCGGCGGCGAGCAGCAGCTCTTTTTGCGATTGGTGGTGTTGGATGCCAGAGTGGGGATTGGTGCTCTTCTTGAGTTCGCGCATGGCAAGGCCCTGGTAGACTGTCACGGCAATGAACGAAGAGTACGGCAGCGTTTCGCTAAACACGGTTGACGTGGGCTGGTTGGTGGCTGGGTTGAGCTGATCAATGCGGACGACCATCTTGTACATTTGGAACGAGTTGAGCACGACGTGATCGCCCGTGTTGGGCACGTTGGTGATCTTGAGCTTGTTAAAGTTGATCTTGGAGGCGTTCCACACGGATCCCAGCGCAGGCGAATCCGGGTGCGTGTAGCTCGCCTGGGTGATTGGTCGGGACGGCCCAACCAGCGGCCGCCACTCTTGGTCGACGAGATCAAACTTCCACCGCGCGCCGTTGGCAGGGACAAACTCGAGCACGATCGAGTACAACGCGTTCGGCTGCAAGCCGCCAACGTCAATCTTGGGCACTGGGAACAAGCAGCGTCCGTTTCGGGTGAGAATCATCTCGGTCGTGTTTTCGCTGAATCGCTTCCACAGCGCCTCGCCTCGCAGGGACACTTGGATGGCGCTGCCGTTCGACCGTGTCACGGCAAGCGGGTGGTCTGCGTCGTCGGCCGTGGCATCGCCGCTGCTCGAGCGGTTGTTGTTGGTGTCGTCGTGGTTGTTGTTGCCTCCTCCGCGCCGTCCAGCCAGCGAGTGTCCCGAAGCGCCACCCCGCCGCAGCGCACCCAGAGACGCTGCATGCGCCCCTGACGATGCCGTGGAGGCAGCCGAGCGCATGGACGACGCGCTCGTTCCAGCAAGGGCGCTGCGGTCGTCGGGAAGTGCGAGGTTCCTCGCACTTAGTCTCGGCTCTCGCTGCTGTTGCTGTTGCCCTTGTTGCTGCTGCTGCCCTTGTTGCTGCTGCTGCCCTGCTGCCCGGCCTGGCGACGCGCTGGTGGTCATCGATGCAGCATTCGCATCAGTGGCGGCGACCGGAGCGGCAAACCCGAGCCCCGAGCCAATGCCAATGCCCGGGTCCATTGAAAAGCCAAACGCTGCATGCGCGCCTGCACTCCCGCCACCAATCGAGCCAGACAGGCTCCGTGTGATGCGTCGCTCGCCCATTGCGTTTTTTTCTTTATATCTCTTAATGCACAAGATGACTCGGAAAAACGAGCGCACACACACGGAAATATAAAAACCCACGCGCTCGCACACAAAGTTGGATCTCAAACGAGCGGGTGTTTTGAAATCGTGTAAATTGCTGTCAAAATGCCAAGCAATCGAGAGTGGGCTTGGTGTTTACTTTTTGGGCATGGACGATAGTTGACAGATTCAACACAAATGTTTCATCACAAGTGATGGAAGTTCAATGGGAGGAAGAGAAAGAGAGAGAGAGAAGAGAAGGGCGATTGGTGGGGAAAGTGCCACCAAAACAAGCACAATTCGCGCTGAAAGTGCGAGAACGCCCAAAGTGCGACAAGTGCCTCAGCATGGGTGCGTGAGGGTGAGTGGAGGCGTGGAGTTAAATCACATGATTCAGCGAAGAACGCTGGTATGCACAGAATGAATCGCTAGGTGTATCCAACAAAAAAATCAACAAAATCGATGCCACACAACACAACCAAACTCAACCAGAACACGACACGCCTGAACCGCATCACAAATGGAACGGCATTTGATCAACAATCAGCCGCTGCAGTTGATCCCAGTAGGCAGGAGCAAGGATGGCAGCGCAGGCGACGATGTTAAACCCAACCATGCGCGACAAACCGTGCACGGCGAGCAGCGTGGCCCATCCAGACCACGAGCCTAGAAATCCAGTCCAACCGAGCGCCGAGCCAGCCCCGCACGCAGCAAGAACGAGTGGCGAGGGCACAAGCCAGTAGGAAACAATCCGCATCCAGGCCATGACGCAGTCGCACCTCAGCTCTTCTTCGCGGTGCGTGGAGAACTGGGGAAGACGGGGTCGCAAGTCCTTCCCGCGCAAGTAGAAATCCACAAGCGTATTGAGCTTGGTCATTCGGACAATGGAAAAGCCCAGGCCCCAGCACAGCTGCCAGCCAGCTCGCTTCAGCACCTTGCTCCACGGCTCCACCTCCACGTGACCAACATCCGACTTTTTCAATGTCGCTGCGTCGTTGTACAGCTTGGAGGGGTTGAGCGTGGAGCTTCCGAGCGCGAGGCGCCACGACGGATTGCCCTGCACCAGCGCGGCCTCGAGAAAGACGAGATGCAGCGACATGGACCTGCTCAAACACGAACTGCCCTGGCATCGCAGCATTGGATCAAGTGGAGAGCCATCAGGCGTCTTCATGGTGCTGAACGCGTCAGAAGAGGCATACACGCCGTTGCATCGGAAGCAAAACTCGCGGCCGCGCCGAGCAGTCGTCGTCGAGGTGCAGTTTGAGTGGGTCATGTGGTCGCAACCCGAAACGCGCTCAATAAACGTGAAGCACGCTGGGCACGCTCGGATGCCGCTCTCAAAGTACTGGCTGGCCGCGCGAGTCAGCTGCACTCTGGCCTCCGCGGGAGTCAGCACTTCGAGGGTTGTGCATCGAAAGCCTTCGTCGCTGGAGTGTGTCGACCAAGGCATCTCACATGTCTCGCAGTAGACCAGCGCGCAGTCAGAATAGGGGCACTGCACCTGGCGGGATGCAGAAGGACGGTGACCTCCGTTCACCGCGGCGACTTCCGGCATGCAGGCATCGTTCTCGGACGCTTGAGGGACTCGCTCGAACGCTTGTCGACCGCACCCACCAGCGCTGGCAGGACAGGTCACACCAGGGAGGGATCGCAACATGAGCTGGTGATGAAGCTCGGCCACAAGGTTGCTCAGACCGGGTGCGGCGAGGTCGGATTCGCACAACTCTTGCTGGCATTTCGCCATGACACATGGGCTCTTGACAGCCGAGACGGGACGAGCCGTCGGAGCGGCATGTGACGTGGGATTATCGATTGCCGAAACGGAGCGGCGCGGACCGCTGTAGTTGCTGGAGGAAATGCCAATGTACTTTCCGTTGACACCAGGGTTGACAATCCGCGACTCGTTTGCAGCAGCCCGTGCCGCAGCAGCAGGGGCGCGCGAGTTGCGGCGGTTGGCACGTCGGGGCATCTCGACATCAGGAGAGGAAGGCGAGGGCTCTGCTTCTTGTGGCGGAGCATTGCACTTTGTTGATGCACGCAATGTGGTCAGCCTCTCGTTGAGTTGCTGAATCATCCAGGTGTTCATGCACTTGGCGCAAACGGGGGCGTGGTCATGCAGGAAAATGGCAACGTTGAGCGGGGTGGCGCCGGGTTCGTCGCTCAACACAACCACCGTGTCACAGCCGAAATCGCACATGACGGGCTGCTGACGGCTAGCAAACTGGCGCTTCTGCTTGGCGGATGGCGAAGGAAAGTGAGCAGCGAATGACGCGCTGGTAGAGGCGGGGGAGGACGAGGAGGAGGACGACGCCGATGCCGATGTTGATGCGGCGTCGGTGGTCGATGCAGCAGCAGACGCGAATGCTGCCATTGCTGGTGAAAGCTGTTCAAGTTGTGCAAGCTCAGCCTGCCATTTGGCCACAAACGAAGACGACGCGGGTGTAGATGGAATGGCTGGAGGTGCCTCTGCGGGAGCATTTGCAATCGCAAGTTCATTGGCAGCCTTGGCCTTGCCCTTCTTCTGTTCAGCCACCGAGCGCAGCAAGAGCTGATGCCGAACCAAGGTTCCGACAGGGGAGTTCATAAAGACATTCCGGGCATGCGCAAAACCTTCAGCAGGGTGATACCAGTACCACCGCAAGTCATCGCTGCTGCGCCAAAGCGCGCAGACGAGCGCAAAGCCCAAAGTGACGGCTCCAATCCTGAGCCATGGGAGGGTGTGAAGAATGGCGTGGAAGTCTGCAACAGAGACGGTTGACATGTCAACTGGATTTGGAGGCAGACGCAAGAGGCTGGACACGGTTTCTTGGAACAAATCGGCTCCAAACAACGTCCATGTGACTGTTTGAGAGATGGCCACCGCCGCGCCACCAGCCCACAGGACGGTTTCGATGCAGCGACGATAGTATGCAAATCGGACAGATTCGACAACGTCCACCACCTTGGACGATCGCTCGCAGTACCTCAGAACGGCGTGTGCATGCTGCGCGCGAACCGCAGAGCGAATCGCTTGAGTGCAGACAACAGCGGTGATCAGACCGCGTTGCATCAGCGGTGACAAGCACAGCTTTACCACGCCCAACGCGGCCAGCTTGACGAGCCACAACGTGTCCCGGAGCGTCGCACGCGCAATGGCCGAGACGGTAGAGAAGAGGGTGCCAAACATTTCGCTGTAAGGAGGCAGCGGTCCAGACCCGTCGCCGCTGTGATTTGTCGGAGCGCCTGCCAACGAACCTTGCGCTTGAGCTGACAGAGCGTTCAGGATGGTCTGACCAGTTGTTCCAGGAGTGGCGTCAGCGAGCGTGGCAGTCACGCGGGTTGCCGCGTCGGCAGTAGCTGATGTCAGAGCTGTGAACTGGGATCCCAAGCGTTCATTCGCCAAATCCAGCAAGCCAACGCTCTGAGCACTTTGCATTGCGCCGGCCGCAGAACCGATGCCACCGCCGCCGCTGCCGATCGACGATGTCACGCCAGTAGCAGACTGGCTCATATGTGTGGTGCCAGGGTGGGAGGCCGGGGACGCGAGGGAAGAAGTCGCGCCGGAAGCGAACGCTGACAGTGTGTTTGCCACATCGTCAGCTGAGGCGGAATTGCGATCATGATGATGCTGATTTTGCACTGCGGCAGCAGCAGCAACATCATGTGCCTGGTTGGATCCGTAGTAAGCCTTGAGGATGTTGACCCCGGCGATGAGTGCGCAGCTCACGGCGTAGGTGATGCAGGTTTCGTCAATCATGCCGCAGCCAATGCAGGCCCACAAGCAGCACCAAAGAAGGACTGCCACTTCTTGTCTGCGTGGCATCTTGCTTTTAAAACGTTTCAACAAAGACAAGATCCAAAAGCAAAACCAAATGGCGTTTTCTCTTTTGTTTTTCTTGTTCACAAACAAAAAATTGAGTGACCTCCTCCTTCGCGTGGACAACAAATTGAAAAGAAAAAAAATGACACAGAGGATGGAGGAAGACAGAAAAAATGAAGAGGGAATAATTGAATGATCGACAACCAATTGAACAGAATAAGGAAACAAAAAGCCAAAAAAACGCAAAAGTCGAAAAAAGCAAACGAAAGCAGAACAAACACAACCCACCAAACCAAAAAAAGCAGCAGCATCAAATGTTAAATCAAGGGACGAGCGGCTCTAGGCCTAAGGCTGGCTATCTACAGAATGAGGCGTGCGAAGTATGGACGACGTGGCAGAAGGCGCATCGACCGAGACGCCCTGGATTTGATAGAACGGATGCAACCGCGAGCCATTCTCCGAGTCGAGCATGGTCAGCAAGGAGCTTGTCAACGGCATGCGATCAACTTGGACCACGGTTTTGGGAGACGCCTCTGTTGCTACTGAAGAAGGTGAAGGCGAGCTTGCTGTTGCTGCTGCTGCTGCTGCGTCACCAAACGCATCGGTTGCAAAATCAGCGGGATCCACGGCAGAGACGAAATCCGACGCATCATCTGCGCCATCGAGGCGCGAAGGAGACAGCGGCGCCGAGCCCCCGGCAAGATCGTGCTCCCGGCCAGCAGACGCAGCAGCAGCTGGGAGCAGGCCGCTCGCCTCTGTCAAATACGGCGGAAGGACAGAGTTGCGCTTGCTGGAGCTGCCTGGCCAGTTGCCGTGCGCCGTCTTGTCCCACACCAAGAGCTCTGGGTGCTCTGTCGAGTCAAGATAGACACTGACGCGTGCGCCGTCTTGCGCGCTCTGATTCGATTCAGTACGACTTATTGCTTGTCGGGTAAGGGCGCCTGGCACCCTTGTCAGCGGCACGGTCGAGTTGGCAGAACCAGCAACATCGGGCGCAAGGTCCGACGCTGGCTGGGACGCAGTCTCGCCGTGTTCAAATTCAACTCGAAGTGGTTCAGCAACAGAACTGCTGACAGAAGGGAGGCCCTCACGTTCCGAGATGTGGTGCACGCGCAAATCCTCTGCTGCACCAAACACGCGCTGCTCTTCCTCAGACAAGGACAAATGCCAGACATCCGAGTGCAGTGGTTGCATGTGCGACAGTTCCCGGAACTGCTTGACAGTGAACTGAGGGTAGACGGAAAGTGCGGGATCGTAGGCAACCGACGGGCGTTTAGGCTTGTCCTTCTCTTTGTCCTTCTCTTTGTCCTTGTCCTTCTCTTTGTCCTTGTCCTTGTCCTTGTCCTTCTCTTTGTCTTTGGACTTGTCCCGCTCTTTATCCTTGTCCTTGTCCTTGTCCTTTTTCCGCTTGGGGGTGCCGGGACCGGCGGAGAGGGGAGTCGCTGAGCCACCAGGTGTGGTTGCTGCCGAGGCAGTTGTGGGGGTCGTGTTAACAAGTTGGTTGTCCGTGTTGGAGCTGCTGAATGGCGTAAAGAAGGTGGTGATGGCCGGGGTGGAGCTGGAGCCAGTGTCAGATTGCCAGCCAGAGTCCTTGGCGGAAGACGGCGCTGCTGGTGGAAGAGTGAGCGACAGCGTTGATCCGCTGCGATCCTTCTTGGTCGGTGTCGCCGCAGGCGTCGCGCCGGATCCAGAGACGCTTGTGTGAATGTGACTGGCCGAGCTTGAAAAAGCGGAATCGCTCGAGCCAACGGCTGTACCAGTCATGGATGCAACAGAACCCGAAGCGGCTACGGAACTAGAAGCAGCGACAGAACTAGAAACGGCGACAGGCATGTCGATCGGGGCCGAGGGAGGCGCAGCAGGTGCAGGTGCAGGCGCAGGTGCAGGTACAGAGGGCACACTTGCAGGTACAGGGGCGGCAGGACTGCGAGACATTAACGTGTCGTCCAATGACCGCGACGGTCCCAGAAGACTCTTGGAGCGAGTTTTGATGGGTGGCATGACGACGTCGTGCGGCACCACAATGGCGCCCTCGGCACTGACATCGGCGGACACGGGCGGTGCGGCGCGTTTCGAAGTAGCAAGTGGCGAAAGAGAGCCAGCCGCCGCGCCATTACTGGGTGCAGCCGTGCCGGGCGACGTGGACGAGGCAGAGCTCGCAACCAGCCACCGCTCATCGAGATACCGCTGCACCACGGAGATGGCGCACCGCTCGCCAGGATCGTATCGGAGCATGGCAGAAACTAGCTCAAGCAGGCGTGGGACGAAGAGCACCCACGGCTTGCGATGCTGGTACTCGTGATGAACGAACGCGGCAAACTCGGCACTCTCGTCGATCGACGGGATGAGCCACGGCAGGTCGCCAGTGAGCATCAAGATTAATACAATGCCCGCGCCCCACACATCCAGAGCCTTGCCGTCAACACGCACAAAGCCCGTTGCACTGTAGACCTCGGGAGCCATGTAGGGCACCGTACCAGTGTCGCGGCAGACCTTGCCAAACTCGGGCCCAGCCATGCCAAAGTCAATCAGCTTGATGTTGCCCTGCTCGTCGAGCACAATGTTTTCCGGCTTGACGTCGCGGTGGACAATGTGGCGTGCGTGCAGGTAGGAGAGGGCGTCGACCAGTTGATTCATGATTCGCCGGACGCGACCTTCCTCGACGCCGTGGTGGTACCTTGGGAAGAGCTCTTCCAGATCGTCGTCCTCGTCCTCTTCCGACACTCCCACAGTCGTAGCCGCGAACGTGACGGACGATGGCGGGCGATGCTGCTGCCGTAGGTATTGCTGCAACTCTGGAATGGTCAGGCCGTGCGCTCCGCCGCTCTGGGCAGCACGCGCCGTCAGCGTTGATCGAGACCGCGAGCGCGACGGTACTCGCAGCGCTCCATGGAGTGTGGTGGCAGTGGTTGCGCCTGCGTGGCTGGCGTTGGCACCGGCGATGACATCGTACAAGTCGCCGCCCGCAACAAACTCTTGAATAATGTAGACGGTGTCCTTGGCGTCGACGTAGTCGAGCACTCGCGCAATATGCGGGTGGATGAGCGTCTCTCCGAGCAAGAGCTCTCGCTTGATCTTCTTGTGCTTGGTCTTGTGCTTGTCGATCGCCTTGATGGCAACGTTGACGGACAGCTGCCGGTCGAGACCCATGTACACTGCGCCGAACGATCCCTTGCCAATCGCCTTGAGGATTTCGTAGCGCTCAAACTGCGACTGCGACGACATGGACGTTGACGAGGCAAAGCTCGACTCGGATGCGAACGCGTCGCTCGACGCAGATGCAGACGCGGTTGCGACCGACCTCGTCACCACGTCGCTCGACCCAGCAGCACCCACTGGTTGGAGTAGGAGTGAGGACGGCGGTGATGCGTATAATGGTGGCTGTGACGGCAGTGTGTTGGTCCCTTGGAAGCGGGAAGCGTCGGAAGCAGGAGCAGCAGGGGTCGAATTTGGCTGTTGGTCCTGAGACGACGACGAGGAGGTGCCTCGAGCGCCACCGCGCCTGGGCTCGTCTGACAATGGTGGCTGTAGTCGCAGTGACGTTGATTCGGCTGGCGTGGTGGTGGCAGAGGGACTCGCGAAGGGGACCGCAGCATCCGAAGCTTGGAGTGAGAATGGCAATCCAGCTTCGTCACTGCTGCTGCTGCTGCTTCCACCGCCCGCCAAGTGGCCGCGCTTTGCTTCAGGTTGGATGTGCGCCTCTCCTCCCACGAAAGCAGCATGAGAGGCCGTCGCAGCGGAGGTCGAAGCGGTGGCTGGACTCGCACCAGTCATCTCGCCACTCATCGTCTTCGCGGCTTCGGCTTCGGCTTCGGCAGCAGCCACCAATCCCAACGACCGCGGTTGCTGCTGCTGCTGTTGCTGTGGTTGCTGCTGATGTGGTTGCTGCCTGTTGTTTGTGCGCAACAGTCGCCCGCCGTCGTCATCTCGTGGCGGTGGCTCCATCATTGTTGTTCAAACGGAAACCAACAATGCAATGCAATGGAAAACCAATAGAAAAAAAAAAAAAAAAAAAAAAACAAGAAAACGAGAAGACGAGAAAACGAGAAAAAGTTTCGCTGTTTTTGGTTGTTTTTTGGCTGGTTTTTTTTTTTTTTTCGGGTTTTCCAGCCACACCCTTATTCACAGCAGTATTCCAAACAACCACAAAACAGACAAACACACACACACGACAAATAGGCACCCAAAAAGGGGGGTGTGCGTGTGTGCTGTTGTTTGTGAAACGATGGAAAAGTCTCGCGACTCTTCACAATTGAACAGTGAAAACAGTGAAAACAGTGAAAAAAAACGCAGAAAAAATGACAACTGTGGCTTTGGTGAAGAATTGGGAACTGAGCTTGAAGAGTAAAATCAAAAAAGAGAGAGAAAAAATGGGATGGAAACATTGAGCATGACACGACAGCAAGGCAGCAAAACGCAACAAACCAAATCGCAAAAACACACAAACACAAAAAAAAAAAGAACAAACCAAAAACAAAAAACTAGCTTCCTCCCTTCTTCCACCTCTCTCACAAACTATGGCTGATGCGGTGGGGTGCCTCGCGACGAAGAATGGGGAGGCTGAGATTGCGGCGGCGAAGACACATAGTGGAAGCCAGGGGGCAGCTGCACAGGTTGCAGCGGCATTGTCGAATGCTGGCCTTGGAAATGGGCAGGCGCTTGCGGACGATAGGTGCTGGCGTAGTTGGCGGAGGCAGCATACAGTGCTGGATGTGGCTGCTGTTGATATTGAAAGTTGGCATAGCCGCTGGCTGCCGCGCTGGGATGAAAGTACGGATTCAGGGGCGGCGCATCACCGAGCAGTCCTGCGCTAGCAGTGGGTGCCATAGGGCGACCGGACGGTGGCTGGCCATACCTAGGATCGAAGGCTTGCTGATATTGGTCGAGGAGCTGTTGCTGCTGCTGCTGGTAGTGGAACGAGCGATTGCTGTGACTGGATGGGGCGTTGGGATCAAACAGTCCACGGTTTTGCGAAATGGGCGGGCGACGGAAGACGTCATCCCCGCCAGCTTCTTCGTCTTGCTCAGCTTCAGTTCGGAGCTGGTTTATCACTTGAGCAGCCATCGATTCCTTGGGCGCGGCCTCAGTTCGGGCTGCGTCAGTAGCAGGCGGCGGATTGACCACGGGTCCTCGCGCTGCTTGAGCGTAGGAGAACACGGGGCGTGCTGTCCCAGTGGTGGTGGTGGTGGTGGTGGTTGCGGCGACTTGCTGTCCAGACGCGCCGGTCGCAGCTGTGGTCGGTTGGGTTTCATCGACCGCCGAGGTCGCCGCCGCGGACGACGCATCTGCAGCCTTGCTCTGCTCAAAAATGCGCGCACGAGCCCGCTCGTACTCGGCAGTGCGCTCCTCGGGGGTCATTGCGCGGCGCTCCTTCTTGCTCGAATCGACCGGCGAGCTGCCAGTGCTGGGGCCCGAGCCTGAGGCAGCAGCAGATCGATCACGTCGCATGATTTTAAAGCTTCCAACAGCCGGCACGGGGGCTGCAGTGGGTGTAGCTTCCGCGTCGCCGGGAAGGGATGACTCGTCGACAGGCGCAGACGATGGCGTGCCATCTTGGACGGCACCGTGCTGTGGCCGTGCACCCAGCCCAAGGGTGGATTGCAGCGGCTGGGAGGGCTGGTGGGCTTGCTGGTATGGGGAGAGGGATTGTGGCCTCGGCGGCTGGAACTGCTGGTGGAGTGGCATGGTCGAATGCTGCCATAGCTGCGGGTGCGGCTGTTGTGATGGGTGGAACTGCTGCTGCGGTAGCATGTGCTGCGGCGCCATGTGCATTGGGAAGGTGGGAGTCTGCCACTGCTGCTGTTGTTGCTGCTGTTGCTGTCGCAGCCAGAGCTGGGCAGAGAAGACTTCCTGGAACGTGTGCTCGGGGAGATGCGAGTGCGCATCTCGCGTCAGTACCATGGTTGTGTCTTCCACTCGTCGGTCCGTGATGCCAAACTGGACGGCGGTTTGGTGGACGAGCTTGCGATGGTACGACGACATGCGCGCAACGTCCAAGCGCAGCGAATTGGACTGGGGCGACGGCGGCGCGCGCATCCACTCGACCAAGCGCTCTTCAATCTGGGCCAGAAACAAGTGGTCCTTGCGCGACTTGTTCAACGCCTCGAGCAGCACCGGATCGTATGACGTCACAAAGCTGTAGTCGCCCTGCAATGGATTGCCAGCCAGCGGCATGGTGGCGGTTGTTGTCGTTGGCATCGTCGACCCAGGCAGACCCGCCGCAGCGAGCGCCTCGAGAGTCGTAAAGCCAGCAGGCACTAGTGATGGACCACTGTCGAGAGGTATGGGCTGGGCTGGGAGGGCGTACGTCGCGCCAAAGCCATGAAACCCAGCAGCAGCAGCAGCAGCAAGCAGCGATCCGGGCTGCGGGGCCAGCTGCATCGCTTGAGCCGCGCGAGTAGTGTTGGGATGCGTACTACTGCTAGCGTCAGTAGCGGGAGTCGCGGTGGACGGAGCAGCGCCAGTGGTGGGACTGGCGTCCGACGGGAAGGCGGGAAGCTGTCCGCCAAGACCGTTTGCTGTTGGCTGGCTTTGCATTTGCTAGTCTGAGAACAAAGAAAAAGAAAAAAGCAAGACTAAATCCAATGTAGAATATAGCACAAAAATCAAACAATGTGAAGGGGCAATGCAACGCAATGGAGTTAGTGTGGTGTGGATCAGCAAAGCTTCAGTTCTCAGTAGCTCGACTCGGCGCAGTCCAGCTCAGACGTCCACACCTGCCATCATCATCCGGGAGCGGCGGTTTTTGTCCAAGCGCATCTGAACGACGAATTTTCACACGGAACGCGGACATCCAACGCGACGCAGTTCAAACTCAATGCATCTTTGCTCACAATGCGAGTTCAAACGAATCTGCTTCCATCCAGGATCATCCCCTCTTAGATTTCTTTACTTTTGCTTTTTTTTGGAACATGTATTGCCTGCTGATGTAAAGTCCATACAATCCGACGCTCTCTCCTCCAAACAATCTCAGATTCTCAGTCATTTTTCCTTGTCCCGTTCGTCCCCCTTTTGACCCCACTTGCCCCCTCCCCCTCCCCCTTCCATCCATTGATTCAGCAACCAGCAATTCCTTTTCAACCCTTCCCTCACACCGAATGCTGCGACTACGGGCAGCGATGAGGCTGCACTGCTCCAATGCACTCGCACTGCGACTTGCTTCTTCAAGCTCTGTTCTCACTCGGCAGCAGCATGCGTTCAAGTCATCCCGAAGCCACTCTCAGATGACATCCAACAACAAGGCTGCAATCGCATCATCTGGCATCACTACGAGCCCTTCTAGTAGTGCTCCTACTATTACTACGACTACTACTGCTGCAGCGACAGGTCAGGCCGAGCTCGCTGTGCTGCAGCAGCGGATTCCAAACAAGAAGCAACGCTGGGTCGCACTCACGATTGCCCAGCCAGACGCATCGAGACCATTCGCTCAGTGGAGCACGCCAAGTGATGGGCCAACGGAACACTCGTCCAGTCGCAAGCAGCCGTCGAGCGCGGTGGACGACCACCGACTGGATGCAGCGGCAGCGTGTCAAACCAATCCCAGCGCATCATCAGAGGGACGGCGGTTGGACGACGAGCAACACCATGAAGCTGCGCATCGACGTAAATCAATGTCAATGCTCCACGTTAGGCAAACACAATCGCCGTCAGCAGCGAGCGGGAACGAGGAGATCAAGCAGGAGATTGTCGACACTTTTGCCGCATCGACCGCACCGCCAGCCCAGCGGCAGCAGTTAATGTACACGCAGTCGCCCGTAGTGTCACCCGAGGCAGCGCCGCTGCAAGACGCCAAGGTCGTCGAGCCATTGCCGCAGCACTCCCAGTCCGACCAAACCTCGACAACCACAGCAGCAGCAGCAGATACGTCGCTCAGATTCCGAGCACCGCCGCTCTTGCTGGGCAAAGTGGACGCCGTCTCGTTCACAGGACAGTCGTTTGCCGAACGATGGGACCCTGAAGCGTCTTCGACATCCACAGAGACACGATCGGCAGCCCCGGTCGGCTCCGGGATTTTCGCGCTCGTGGCTTCTCTGCAAAACGCCGGCCAGCGCGCCTGGCGACTCCGCGAGGACACCCGACACCGCTTGATTGAGGCCTTCTTGCCCAAAGGATACCCACATTCCGTCACTCCAAACTACATGGGCTACTCGCGGTGGCAGGCAGTGCAGTCGGTGACTGGCACGATGACGGGAGGTTTGTGTTTTGCTTGGACTCGGTCTTTTGTTGTTTCGATCCTGTCGTGTTGAGCTATTGACCATTGCTGAAGTATGCCGAGCGAATCTCACCTGCATTGACCATCGCGCGCAGTACTTTCGACACAGGCACTGTTGTATGCGGTCGGCTTGGGCGCGGGTGCCATTCCGCTTGCTGGAGCGCTCAACTGGATTGTCAAGGACGGTCTTGGCCAGCTTGGTGGCGTGGTGTACTCGACCTTTATCAGCTCCAAGTTTGACAGCGATCCAAAGCGCCACAGGTTCTGGTCGAATGCCGCGCTGCAAGCGAGCACACTCCTTGAGATTCTCACGCCTCTAGCACCGGGCATGTTTTTGTTTCTGGCTTCGGTGTCTAACATCGGTATGTTTGGCAGCTCGCCAAGCGGGGGGGGGGCATTGCTGGCTTTACTCACCCAAACAACTTTTCAACCCTTATTTTTTTTTTTTTTTTTGGTTTCCACAGGCAAAAACATTTCTTGGCTCGCAGCCTCCAGCACCCGTGCGCAAATGCACAACAGCCTGACACTGCGAGACAATCTTGGCGATGTCACCGGGAAGGCGGGGAGCCAGGCTATTGCCACGAGCCTGATTGGCACAGGTCTGGGTATCGCCATTGCCCCGTTCGTCGGCACAGACCCGATAGCAGTGCTGCTTGCCTTTCTCCCGCTATCGATTGTTAACATGGTGTCCAACTACCGTTCTAACACCATTGTTCAGTAAGAAGGTTTTCCGGATTTGCTCGGATTTGTGCGATTTTTTTTTTTACGGGTTTTTCTTTTGCACTCGGAATGCCGCACTAACAACGCCGTCCCGGTTCTTGGCGTCCCTCCCATCAACAGCATGCGCACTTTAAATGTTCAACGTGCAGAACGCCTCTTTATGCACTTTTTGCTGCACAACCGTGCCGCCTTGATCGATGCCGCAGGTGAGTCGTTTTCACAAACGAAAAATCCAGTCATTGCACCCTCGCATTCAAACTGCACATTGCCAAATTCACTCTTTGTTGAATTCATGCATGCCTCAATAGCCGCAGATAAAATGGCATTCTCCACGCCCATGCAATACCAGCTGCTCACACCTTCTCAAGTTAGCGGCGCAGAGTCGTTCGTGTGGCATTATCGAACAATTTTTGACGTGCCTGTGTGCGTGGAGCCACCGATTGATGTTGTCTTTGCCAAACACGACGCCACTGCGAGCTCCTCGGCGACCACAGGCAAGGCCACTGCAAACACCCCGCTCTACGAGCCCAAGCGCCTGCTCGAACGTCTCAGGAAGGCACTGGGACGCTCACCTCCAGCGCAACTGCCGATTGATTCGTGCGCCGTTTCTCTGTTGCTCGGCGACGTGTGGATGCTGGGACGCGAGAACTACCTGCTCGCAGTCATGGACGCAACTCAGCACGAAGGCGGCATGCTGGCTGCACTGGACATTGCTTACCAAACGCCGTCATTCTCGCTGCTCCCGTCAGATACACCTCCCACAGCTATTCCGCCGCCTCCATCCAACGCCTCCGAATCTCTTCAAACCGAGCAGGCCGGAACACCGCCATCGCTGCAGCGGCGACGCACTGTTTGCCTGTGGTTCCGTGAAGGTACCACCTCCAACGAGATGGTCACAGGCTTCTTGCATGCATGTCTACTCAGGTATGCGATGGAGGATCCCGATGTGAGGGCCGCATTCCTCGGAGCGTCCGTCGCCGCTTCATCCGGCACCACCGACGCCAACACCGTGCTGCCTGCTGCACACGCCGAGCAGATTCGCTCCATGGTCATCTCCAGTCGTCAGCCAACCGCAACGGACGCGCAACAGCTCGAATCGGAAGCAAACGCGCTCCTGGAAGAGGTGGTTCTATCCCGCGTCAGCCACTCGATCGTTCGTACCATCAGCCCGAACTTTTCAGCGGCGCTCGCCAAAAGCGGCTGGCGCACCAAGAATGTATTCCTAGCCGAAGGCGATGCCCGTCTCGTGACCGACTAAGAAGGGAAGCGGCTGTATTCTTGATCAAATCCAACACAATAAACGCTCATTTTGTTGTTGATTTCACAATCGCACCGACTGTTTTGATTCACAAATGCTATTTTCTTTGAGCATTGCTTGCTTTTTGGGCTTGAGCTCAGTCGCTCCATGTCCACAGCTCCCCGCGAGTCGACGGCGCTCATTGTTGAGCTGCCAACTCGAACGGTAAGTCGCTCTCACAGAGTTGCTCTCTCTCTCTCTCTCTCTCTCTGCCGCCGCCGCGCGCTGCTGTCCAAACCCGAACGCGCTGTCTCTTGTCCTTCCGTTTGCATCTGCACCAACTGCCTCTGTTCAGGGTGCGGGGGTTGGGTTGGGTCGGGGTTCCCGATCGCTGAACTCAGTCTGCATTCATTCAATTTTGAACAGGCGCTGGTCTGCTCGCCAGTCTCGCTGCCACACACGGTGGTCATCACCATCGACTGCTACACGGGCGCGCTGTCACACACGGGCACTTGGCTCGCGGACGTCTTTGCCACCGAGGATGACGCGATGGCCGCACTCGAGCTCGTCGAGCGAAGGCGACCAACGTCAACACGGTAAAAAAAAACCAACCCAAAAAAAAAAAAAAAAAAAATTCAATGTTTCTCAGATTTTGAAAACATTGGTCTTGTTTTTTGAAAGTTTACTCATTTTTTTTAAGTCGACAAGCAATGTCTCACTTCTGTGTCGTTCTCGTTCGTATGCTTGGTTGGTTTTTTTTTTTTTTTTTTTTTTTGCCGACCCATTTTCGTTTCGGCTTTGGATCGGCATGCTTTTGCGGCAAAATCAGCCGTGTGAGTGCCTTAGCAGGGTACCTGGTGCAAGGAAAATCAGCGCACTTACTTGTGATTGACAAGGTGAGTATTGAGCGTTTGTTTGTGTTTGCGAAACAGCGACTTGTCGCACAAAGTTCTCACACGTTGAACACTGTGCCTGCCCGAAGGTTCGTACATGGCATCTGCTGGGTCACCACATTCACTCTGTGGCCAAGGCAGCCTGGATTACCATTCCTCTGCGCCATCTCAGCGCCATCGCCAAGCGTGACAGTCAGGTTGTCGATTTCGCGCTCAAGCGCTATCCGCTGCTCGACACGCACTACTTTTGCGAGACTCTCGACATTACGCGGCCATTCCCATCAACACATCCAGTAACGGACCCAGATCCAGCTTTTGTATGGAATACGTGGCTTGGTTCGCCATTTATCGCCCTTGGCATGAGCCGCTGCTGTGTCGTCCTATTGCAAGGCGTGGTGTCTGGCCGATCTACCGCCCCTTCCAGTTCCTCGCCTAGGTGAGCGTTCCTTTCCTCTTGTGATTGAGTCGCATGATTGCTTTGGTTTCCAGCGTTGTCTGTCGACCGAGTTGCTGAGTCGTTTTGCCTCTTGTTTTGAATTTGCATTGGTAGCTCGCCATTGCTCGCATTCCACATGATCATCATGAGCCGGCAAAGTCGATTGCATCCAGGAACAAAACAATTCGCTTGCGGTCTCAATCACGCTGCAGAATCAGGCAACGAGTCCGAGTGCGAGACGATTGTGTGGTGCTCGGTTCCGCCGGCATCGTCTGCATCTACTTCAGACACGGTCCGCACGGCATCCTTTTCTAGTGCACCCGTCGTGCCTTCCCAGCAGACCCCCAATTCTCGCCGGTTGTCGGGCAGCTCGGTCGCCTCGTTGACGTTTGCCAATCCTCGGACGTATGTCGCCGAGGCCGAGCCGTGGCACCACACCGTTCTATGGCGGTCCTTTGTGCTTCGCCGTGGCACAGTTCCCGTGTGGTATCGTTTCGGACTGCGCGGTTCCGTCTTGCAAGACCCGACCACCCTTTTCAACCAGGCAAGCTCTGGTGCTGATCGGCTGGTCAACGTTGTCGGTGGTGCAGCCGCGTCGTCCGGCAGCGTTGGATCAACGAATGCTGCTGGTACTGGCGGGATGTCCGCTGGCACGGCCAGTGGGACGCAGAGCGCACAGGGCAGCTCGGCATCCGGATCTGCCAGCAACGCCGCAAGCGGGGGATCTTCCTCGACCGGAAGCGGCAGTAACGCAAGTTCGAGCGCCTCTGGCAGCGGGTTGTCGGGCGCCGCATCTCTTGCAGCATTAAGCGCTAGTCTTGCCACGGAAATCCGCGTGCGCGAGGAGGACTTTAGCGAAGGAGTGGAGCGGTACTTTTTGCGGCTCTGCGAACGTCTTCGTTGCAAGGAAGTTGTGTGCATCGACCTGCTGCGCTCGGACGCGGAGATACGCGATTCCAGTCCTGCGGTCGGCGGCGGAAATGTCAGCGAGCAACACCAAGCACTATGCGATGCCTTCAACGTGGCTGTGCAGGTGACTCGTTCGCGTGTTCGCATGCGGATTGATGTCGCGCACTACGATTGGCACGGCCACGTTGGATCGGTTCCAGACGAAGGTCTGATGGGCGGTCTGTGGAATGCCGTTGGGTCGGCCGTGTTTGGGGCTGGCATGAGCGGTGGTTCTGCCGAGCTTGTCGGCCAGCACGACGAAATCATTACTGCCGAGCCTGCACTTGCTCTGTCGGACGTGGTGGACGGCAGCCGAGCGAGTCAGATGGATTTGGACGACGCGCTGAATTCGAGTACCTCCATGTCCGTCGCGGCCCAGCCGTCGCTCGGCATGTCGGGCGCGTTTTACAACGACGCGAGCAACTTATCTCGCGGCGTGAATGACGCTCAATCGAGCAATCGTACTCATCCCAGTGCCGCCGGCGATATTCACGACACCTCGTTCGACATTGGCGACATTCGTGTTTATGGTGCCAGCAGCAGCTCCTCGTCTGCTGCCGCATCGTCCCACGCGACAGCGCAGGCTGCATCAGGGTCGAGTAGCAACGCCTCGCCACAGTTCAGCACTGGCGTATCGTCCCGTTCAAACAGCGATGCGAGCGCGTACAGCTCGTTCTGGTCTTGGCGCAAACTCGAGCGTAAAAACCTGGACGCCATGTCGTCCAACCCAAACACTGCCTTGCTGACGGTCGCCGAGACACAAGACGGCAGTCATCTCAGGGGCTCTCGATCCAGCTCGAACGCCATGCCTGCGCCCGACCTCTTCAACGACCCGAAATCCACCACCGCACCCGTTCATCCGCGTGCGGCAGATGCCTCTCAAATTGCCGTGGATCAGTCTCAGCGACAACATGGCATGCTGCGTTTTGTCTGCGAAGATTCGCTGCATGCCACCAATCCCTCCGCGTTTTACGTGACGCTACGTTTGGTGATTGAAGCCACTCGACAGCTGCGGCATGCATTTGAGCGGCGGCAAGCGCAGACGGCTCGGCCCTCGCCTTCCCCGTCTGGCTCTTCCTCCGCTGCTGCTGCTGCTAGTCAAAGCCAACCCCCCACACAACAACAACAACAACAACAACAGCAACAACAGCAACCGAAGCGACGACCTTCTCTCATCAGTCGTCTCTCCTTGCAGGACGGCGGCGTTCCTGATCAGCCCGACTTTATTGCAATGCTTTCCAGCAATCCACTCGAGTCTCCATTTGGCAGCAAGCAAAGTGCGGAATTCGCGGTTGCTTCGCAGATCGAACTTCAGACATCCGCAGCACCAGCGGTCGACCAATTGCCGCCGAGCTTAACGGCGCGCACTTCGAGCGAACTGGTTGTACAGATTGATCCAGCGTTGCTCGAGTGCATTGGCTCGTTTTTCGTCGGTGATCACGAAGTGGGGCTTGCTCTGTTTGATCCGTCGAGTTTGACCCCGACGAACGCGACATCGTCCTCTGTCGCAACAACGCCGGGCGTCGCATCGTCGGGGCCTGCTACGCCTCTTGGTACCAGCTCTGCTTTCAGTGGCCCCGCAGGATCCGACCCACGGTCTATCAGTCTCGGGCAGCTCACGCTTGCTCCCGGTGCGGTCGTGCCCCCAAGCGGTGCACCTTCCGCTGCTCGTCGATTGTGGGAAGCGGTCCCACGAGCGTTGATTGGGCCAGGTTTGAACGCGCGGGGTGCCATGCAAGTCGCTCGGCGCAGCCGGTTGGAAACGCTGGCTGCGCATGCACATCGCCAGCTGCAAGTCGAGCTGTTCTTGGGACTGCGTGTTCGAGAATTGCTTCCGAGCGTGCTTCAAGCGCCGCTGCATTGGGTTTCGCCTGCACCCCACAACTTTGCGCCGTACATTGCTTCGGATTCGACGAATGGGGTATCGGCACGGCACCAACAGCAGCTGCAACAGCAACAGCCACAACAGCCGCTACAGCCGCAGCAGCAACTGCTCTTCCCACAGTATTCCAAGGGTCAGCCTGCTTTGCCACTTCTTTCGTCTTCGACGTCGTCTCTGAGTAGCACTGGTGGAGGGCACCCCGGAGTGGGCTCGTTCGGCGATTCACCACCAGTTGGTAGCGGACTCGGAGCAAGCTCGGTTGCTGCTGTTGTCGCCACGCCGTCATCATGCTGCGTTGCCGTCTATCCTGGCAAGCTGTACACTGTGGACGGGCTTGTCGCACCAGCAGACATTGTGCTGCAACGGGGCGAAAATCCAGTCCTCTATGGCCCGCTCGGCGCTGAAACAATTGAGCTGGACATCTTTTTGAGTCAGCCGTGCCACCTGCGCGAGCTTTCCCTGATTGTGAGGCATGGCGTGTGCGACGTGACCTCGCCACAGTTCCTCTCGGTGAGCATTGGCATGTACCGGAATGAACTCCAAGCCGCTCTCCAAAATATCGCCATCCCTTGCTGCACGGACGGCACTGTTCTCACCTACGCCATCCCTGTCGTGGGCTTTGGAGAGAAGGACTCCTCCCAACTCGTTCGGTTTGGCCGTGATCGCGGCGACGAGCTGCTGACGAGGATTGTTCGAGTGCGCCTGCAAGGTATTCCGTCCAACACGCAGATGACGTTTGGCGACATTGCCTTGTACGGTCTGCTCCCGCATCAAATTGAACTCCAGCGGCTGCTCTTGGAGCAGCAGAGCGCTTCGGCCCTCACCGTCAGCAGCACAACAGACGTGCTCAACGAACTTTCGCTGCATCACACCGCCCAGTCGGAAAAGGCCGCGCTGACCAAAGCCCCAAAGTCGCAGCAGCCTCCGGCGGCTTCGCAGCAGCAGCAGCGATCGACCACCTCGCTTCCGTTTGCTTCCGCGACAGCCATCGGAGCGTCGAGTCGATCAACGGCAGCTGCGCCTGGCCGCGTTGGCAAGCAACGCAAGCCCTTGCAACACCAACAGCAAGGGAAGGCAGAGGCAGCCGTTGCAACCGCGCTGCTTCGTTCCTCGCTTTTTTCGCGCTACGCCTTTGCCAACTTGAACGCAAAGCTTGCCGAAGCCAAACTACTGGGCGTGGTTGGATTTGTTGATGCCTTCCCGATGCTGTCTGCATTTGCCTTTGCTGCCTCGGCGGCCTCTTCCGCGTCAGCTTCCGCCGCGCTTGCAGCGCATGCTTCGTATGGGCCAACGACCTTGAACGCAGCGTCTGCGGTCGGCCGACGGTCTTCCAAGTTGACAGGCCAACACGATGCCTCGCTCGCGCCGCCGCCGGTGGGTTTGCATCTCCAGCATCACCTCAGCCAGCCGCGCAGAGCCAGCGGACAGTGGCCGACGTCGCTTTCAACAAGCTTCACTTCCAGCCAGCCAACGGACTTTGGTGGCCGCAGCTCCATGTCGAGTTCGCAACTGTCATCTCAACTTGCGCATCCACAGCAGCAACAACACTATCATTCCCGAATTCAGTCGCAGCATGCTACCTCGTCCTCAAGTATGGCTGGGTTTGCACTTGGTGCCACCACTGATTCGAGGCATGAGAGTGGCCCGCACTTGCTCAGCTCGTCCTATGCTCCCTCGAGCTTGCTTCTTCAGCAGCAATCGGGTCCATCGTCGGCAGCATCGACTGGCAGTCATTTCCACCAGCATGCCAAGGCCCTTGCGGGCAACGCTTTCAACTCGGCCAACCACCAGCTCGACGCGCCGCAAGTGCATTCTCTGCCAGGCTCGTCGTTTTCAGCCGTTTCCTTTGGACGTGCCCTCACCTCCATATCCCGTCCGTCCTTTGCCCCTCCGTCTTCGAAATCCGACATTGGCGGAATCACTGCCGCATTTGTGAGCAGCGGGCCGAACTCGCCACGGATTCGCAGTACTTCGCTGATGCGCGCTCAAAGCCGCCTGCAGCAGGAGCAACTCAACGCTCTGGAGTGCTACAGCAAGGAGCTTCGCGAGCGCACGTCAAAGGTCAAGCGCGGTGGCTCTCTCACCTTGCTCGACGCGTTGGCGCTCGAGGTCCTGCGCCTGCAACTGGGCGTGAGCACGCAGCACCGCGACCGCTGCGCAAGCGCGCTTGGCTGGGCGCCTCAGCAGCTCAACCCGAATCGCCTGATTGTTCCGCGAGATGTGCGTCTCATCTTCCCGTTAACGGTGGCCGGCCCAAGCAGCAAGCTCAAGCAGCCAACCTGCGCTGCCTACAATTGCCGAACGGTTCTGACCACAGAGACTGCGGCGCTGTGCCACCTCTGCTGCCGGCACTTTTGCGCGGCCGACATGCACGAAAGCCCCGTCGAGCTGGTGGAATTCGCGCTCGGCTCGCCCGTTCCAGTTTGCCAAGCGTGCCACATTGTCGCATCGAGACAGCTGTCCCTGGTTGACGAGCTCATTGCTCTGGGCGAGCGTCCGCATACATTCAAGTCTTGGCAGCACGTCTTGTTCCAGAGGAATGCCTTCTTGACGGAGTTGCAAAGCGCCTATCCGTTTGTGCGCAACGCTCGGCTGCCGCAGGAGTTGTCGTTGCTCAGCCGGTCGGCCCAACCCCCGATTTCCTCCCCGTCAGCCTCGGAGCCGCCAGGCGTTGGGGCGCTGATGATGGAGTCATCGAGTCACCATGCCGCCGCGTCGATGATGATGCACCGCTCCCCACTGCCGCCGATTCCTGGCTCGCCCGCGATTTTGGGCACCTCGCCGATGCTGTCTTCTGCGCTTAGTCCGATGAAACTGGAATCAGGTCGAAAGCCGGTGGTGCACGGATCTACCGCCACGATTGGTCTCGAGGACGAAGGCGAATCGAGCGTCACTCCTCGTCCGGCTCCTCCTTTGGTGTCTGGATTCACTCACTCGCTGCGCCGCGATGCCTACAAGTCGCCAACCGCAATGCCGAAGATGGAAGATGACGATGACCTCGCCGACTACCATGAGCTGGAAGCCGCTGGACCTTGCCGTTCTGTGGCCGAGTTTCCCAGCGCGGGCATTTTGGAGGCTGTGGCCACGCATGTCGAATCGCCGCCGGTGGAAGTGATTCTCGCACCACCCACCCTCCTGCCCGCCAACACCACGTGGTATGCTCCTACGGGAGTGCGCACCGTCCAGTTGCGCATCGTTCTCCCTCAGCTGACACATGTGAGCGAGGTTTCACTCGTCGCTGACGCCTTGGGATATCGCATTGGAGATCTTCCTCAGGTCAAGCTGTCCTTTTGCACCCTGCTTCGTGGCGGCGACGCCGAGGAAGTGCGACTGCGTGGTGCTCTACCTCAATTGAACGCTCCTCCTCGCAAGTCCCTCACATCCGAGTCAATGAGTGCCGTTGAGTTTGACCACCTGGAAGAGTTTGATTGGAATTTGCAGCAGGCCGCTGCTGACCGGATGCGCTCTGGGCATTCCGAAGAGACTGTCAGTCTGTCCGCTTTGCCCGTCGTCTTGCAAGGACTGGTACACAAGCCGCGGACGGAATCTCTGGGGCGAGTGCACGATAGCGATCCGTCTGTGCTCGTTCAGCCGTATTCGATTCTCTCTTTCCGTCCGCCTGATGCATGCCTCTCGAGATTGATTATTGTGCAACTCACCCTCCCCGCTCAGGCTGGTGGCGAAGCCCGGACCAGCGTACAGCAGCAAGCCAAGGAGTCATTTACCGCCGGCGCGTCGACTACTCTCCAGGAGTGGACCTCGACTGTTCAGCCGCCGCCCGCCGCATCGAGAGCTGCGTCCACGGAAACGTCCAAGCGCCGCACTGCCCGAACACTGGTGTTTGGTGAAGACCCTTCTGCTCCGCAGGCGACTGGCAAGCCCCAGAGCGCGGACAGTAGTTTGCCGCTTCCCATTCCATCTGCTACTGGAGCAACAGCAACAGCAACAGCAACCGCCGAATCTGTCGATGCTCAGCCGCAAGAGCACACGGAGCACACGGCGCTGTTGGACCCAACGGCCTTTTTGCACATCGGTCGTATTCGTGTGCGCGGCAGGCCATGCCCAGTGTTGCGTTCAACGAGGCTTGCAGCTGGCACCGGACACTTGTCGACCCCAACCAACAGCAACAATAACAACACCATCAACGCCATCACCACCACCACCACCACCACCGCCAACTACATCCAACAACAACAGTCACCAGCTTCCGCGTCGCCGTTGGGCGGGTCCCAGACCCCAACTGGCTCGCCGTTCGTCTCGCCCATTCGATGGTCGTCACCATCGCCCGCTTCTGCCGCAGTCCAACCACCCATGCCTCCGACACCAAGTCTCAGTCGCATGCTGCCCGAGCCGCTGCCCGTCACGCGTGCCTTCATCAAACCGCTCTTTGTCAACACGCGCAGCAACGGCCGGTTTATCGACGTGGGCATCGACCAGCAGTTCATCCACGGCTTCTGCATCATGGTCAAGCACCACGACGGCGACCCAGAGTCGCAAGTTCGCACGTTCCGTGCATCCTTGTTCAAAACGACCTCCCGCATCACCGAGCTGATTGACGTGCGTGTTCTCGACACGTTCATTCTGCCCAAGGTTGCGAGCGGCACGCAGCTGTTCTTTGACTATGCTGCCAACAATGCAACCGGGAACGTCTTTTGCATCGAGCTTCTCGACACGTACGGTTCTTTGGAGATGTGTCTGGGGCTGAAGGTTCAAGTTTATTAGAGCGATCAATTGTTTTTGTGTTTCATTTTATTGTTAATTTTAAAGGGTTTCATTGTCAGGCGTTTTCCCTCTGTTCGGTTAGATTCTATGTCCGTCGCTGTAAGTGCTGCGTCGGAGGTGGGGGGGGGGGCAAGCGGTCAGTCAGACATGAACAAAACAAGAAAACACAAACAAAACCGAAAACCAGAATGTTTTTGACGATACAACCCGATAATCTACTTCCGAACAAACGCTATATTCAAATGTGATTGATGCTGACAAAACCAGAATTTACAGATCTCACGCCAAACAGCAGCAAAAAACAACGACAAACATAACAAAATGTGCCTTCACTTCGCACTCGCTAACAACGCTCCCAGATCGCGAACGCCACCAGAATGTTGAGCAGCCATGTGAGCAAAGGCAGCGTGCAACTGACGCGCATCGATGCGATTCTCAGCTTCCCACATCCAGCAATTCGACATGGCTTGCCAGAGCGGATCGCTGCAGTGGTCTGGTCGCGGCAAGCGTCCACCTTTTTCCAAAAAGTCCACGAGCGCCTTTGGCTCGATACCCGGATATGGGCTCAATCCGGCTGACATGACCTCCCACATGAGCACACCTAGCGCCCAGACGTCGGACGCAGGCGATGACTTGCGGAAGAGCAAAAACTCGGGGGACATCCACTGCCAATTTTGAAACAGCACGATGCAAAGTTAGAACAAGACGATACTGTTCAGAACACCATCATCAACATTTGCGCAAAAAATACCGTACACGAACGGGAAGTGCTCCGCGCGTCTGCATGCGATAGTAATTCTGCTCGTCCAACTCGCGAGAAAGACCAAAGTCGGAGATCTTGACCACCAAGTCCGTGCCCACAAGACAATTGCGTGCTGCGATATCGCGATGCACAAAGTGCAGTTCGGCCAGATACGACAAACCGCTTGCCACTTGCGAAAAGATGTGCAGATACTCCCCGACTGTTGGCACGAGTCCCCTGGACGAGCATGACTGAATGACATTGCGCAAGTCACCGTACACGAGCAGCTCGAGCACGAGCATCCACGGCTCCTGTTCGACAAAGACCTCGACAACCGAAACAATGTTGGGATGGCTGAAGCGTCGCATGATTTGCGCTTCGCTGGCAAAGTCGCTCTTGCTCTTGTCCGTTGCGTCGGATTTGAGCGTTTTGACCGCGACAGCAGCAGTGGTCGCACCCGATGAGTCAGACCCGCGAGCGTGCTTGGAGAGCCACCGAGCGGGTACATGTGCCAGCCAGACCTCGCCAAAATTGCCCGCGCCGAGTTGAGTCGTGAACTGAAGCTCGTTGCGAGAAAACTGTTGCTCTCGCTGGAAGGAATCAAGCGTTGTGATGTAGAGTGCGTCATAGTCGCTTTCCGAGGGCACATTCGCATTTGCATTCGCCCCGGCAAAGCTCGCACGCATAGCTCCAAAGTCTGGCGCGCCAGCCGTTGAGACAACCCTTGCAGGCACGGACGCGCGATTTGCACTATTAAGCGCCCGAGGCTTGTCGGGAATGCTCGGCACGAGAGTCGGCTGTTGTGGCGAGTCGTAGGTATCGTCTAGTGCTGGATTCCGAGCCAATGCTTCGTACGTCGGTGCCTCTGCATAAACGGGATTGGCATTTCTGACAATCTGCGGTAAAAATTCGTAGGGATCTTCCTGCTGCTGCTGCTGCTGCTGCGGAGAGTCGTAGGTACCGCCAGATGTCAGTAAAGCGTTTGCATACATATGGTTCCGAGACACTGCTTCATAGGTTGGCTCAGCAGCAGCAGGCAAGGGCTTGGATGTTGGGATGGCAGATTGCCGAGAGCGACCACGACGACGCAACATTCCAATAACGATCACGAGGACCAAAACGAACAGAATGCCTCCAGCTGCAGCACCTACGGCAGCTCCAATCGGTGCAGAGTTGGAATCGGGTTGGGAGCCGGCTGAGCTCTCATCATCCCTGATGAGAATGGCCATTGCTTGCGCAGTGCCGAGGCGCGCCCCTCCTTGCACATTTGCCAGTCGGACGAACAAGACCCGACCCCCGTCCAGGAGACCATTGTCATGCAACGGTAGGACAATCTCGGTCTGATTTTGGCCGTCTTCGAACGTGACCATGAAAGGTGCTGTGGTCACGTCGAGCGTCAGATCGGCAAACCGGGATGGCAAATTCAGGCCTGACAGCGGAGCAAATGCAGGATCGGATGTGACGTTGGTTGATAGGACAAAGCTCAATGTGACGAGACCGACTTGTGAGACCTCTCGCCACAGTGACAAACGAATGACGCCAGCGTCCTCGGAGACGATCGTTACAAGTGGATTTTGGCCCGAAGAGGGAGCAAACTCGACCACGCCGTTGACGTCGTCATTCTTCAGAATGGTCACAGTCGCCACTGACGTCCACGACAAGGTTGCACCAGCCACGTTGACGAGCGTCACCGTGAACGTCTCGTCGAGTTCTGGAATTGCGTCCTTCTCAATTTGGATGTCAAACGAGACAGATGTCTCCCCAACCGCGAGCGTGTACGAGTTGTTTTGATTTGACGCGTCAAAGTCGTCGCCGGATGCGGAAAGAGGCATTGCGGTGGCTTGGAAACTGACTGCTGTGGCACTTCCGCCGACGCGTTGCACTGTCAGAGTGACCTTGCCGTCATCCTCGACGACAGAAACCGTCGGTTGAACAAAAGATAAAACGCCGTTTACACCATCCTGGGCTTCAATAGCGCACGGGATGGTAGAGTCCAACGACGTCGCGCCAACAAGAAAAGTTGCTTCCTGACCAGCGCTGGCTCCGTTCGCCGTCAAAACAAGCTTGAACAGCTCGGTCGGCTCCTGTGCGCTGTCTGCGCTGATCGTCCATGATGCCAACGCAGTACTTTGTCCAGGTTCAAACGTGACAGTGCGAGCGGAGCTGTCAGCAAAGTCAGCCGAGCTGGTTGTTTCATGCGCGATGGAGACAACTCCCGACACTCGGCGGAACGTGCCACCGACACGCGAAACAGCGACAGTCACAACATCGCTCTCGCGAACAAGCAGACGGCTCTCGCCCGTCGCACTCGGCGTGAGACTGACACTCTCGAACGCCAACGCTCCGAATGGATTGTCGTTCATGCCGATGCAAACGTCTGTAAAGTTGCTGACTGGGTCAATGGTCGCGCCATAGCTTGCCGAATCCAGCTGCACCCAAAAGTACTCGTCCAACTCCGGGATTTCATCGTCCAGCAGCATCACTTCAATCTGTGCACGGTCCACGCCAGCAGCGATGATCACTGCTTGAGTTGACAAGGCCGTGTAATCTTCGGGCGCTGATGCTCGATTGTCGGCGGACAGCGTCGTGTTCTTGAACCTTCCGCTGTGCATTGACCAGGTGAATGCAATGGCACCATACAGACCACCAGAGCGGATGACTTCGATCGCCACCGTGTTGTTCGGCTGAGGAACTCCACCAACAAGGGGCGACTCTTCAAAGCAACTGGACACCCGCGTGATTGAGAGAACACCACGCGCATTGTCGTTCTCGGGTATGGTGACCAACGCCAGCGCCAATGTCGCATCGACACGGCCAGGTCCGGACACATACTCCAAAAGCAGACCAAACATTTCATCCAGCTCAGGGACACCATCAGCAAGCACTGCAATAGAGACATGGGCCTCGACATCGTTTTCGCTGAAAGTGACAAGCTGGGAAACAGCAGCATAGTCGCTTGGGGATGCAATTCCCACACCATTTGTTTGACCTGAGCTCAAAGTCAAACTGCGCACACGAACGACCGTAGTTCCCAGAGTGCCCTTGAGTCGCTTTAACTGCACAAAGCCCGTAGAGCTCTCCGCCACTGACACGTGAGTCAAGCTGAATCCAAACACACCATAAGGGTCGTCGTGTGCGTTCACGGTCACGCGAGAAGTCGAATAGTACCCGATGGCCGCGGCAGATCCACTGCCAGTTACCATTGCATCTACGATGGTATACGTGTGCTCGGCATCAAGAGTAGGCACAGACGAGAATGGCAGCTGAATGACCTTTGTTGCTGCGGCTTGATTTGCGGGAATCACGATCGAAATGTTTTGGGGCACTGGGAAATCGCACCTCACAGTGACATTGATGGCTTTCACGAGTGATGCATACGAGTAACGCTCAATCGTGAGAGAGTAGGTGCCAGCGGTAATGTCCACCCGAAACGCGCGTGATTCCTCGGCAAACCTCACCACCCCCGTTTGGTTGTCGTGCGCGTCAATGACGATTGTTGCGGTAGTGAACTGGCTGCTTGCGCCCTGCAATTGAACCTGGATGCTCTGTATTGTCGCAGAGCGGTCGCTACCAATCAGTACGATCGAAATATTCTTGTGTGTGTCGGCCAGGTTGAACATGAGCGGAGATGCGGTCGCCACGAGGTAGTCTGTGCCGACGGTGGCACCCACGGACGAGACGTTAAAGAAAACCGGGGTGCCATTCACTTCAGGGACCATCTCGACACGAAGATTGATGGTGCTGCTCATGCCCGCCCCGCCATCAGGGATGAGCATAAACCGCGAATCTTCAGCAAAGGAAGCTCGGCTTTTGATGGCACACTCAAACCCGGTGCCCTCGTAGCCAACCGCGCACGTGCATGTGAAATTGCCGGCATAGTTTGTGCAGGACGCATGTTCATCGCAAGGAGACGTGGAACACTCGTTGACATCCGTGCACACCGTGCCGTTTCCGGAAAAGCCCGACGCACATTGGCACTCAAAGCTGCCAATGGTGTTGGTGCAGATGGCATTCCCGTCGCAGTTGTCCAAGCCTTCCTGGCACTCGTTGATTTCCGTGCAGTTCCGGCTATTGGGCTGCAGACGCCATCCCGCTTGGCATGTGCAGTAGTACGTGCCGAGAGCGTTGTTGCAAATGTGGCCGCAGCCTCCGTTGTGTGTCGAGCACTCGTTGATGTCGACACAGCCGTTCGGCCCGCGACCAGCGTTGCTGATGGCGTATCCCGAGTTGCAAGAGCAGGAATAGTCGCCAATGGTGTTGGTACAAATTTGCGCGCACTGGTTGCCACCACCAGGAGCGCATTCGTCAATGTCATTGCAGGCGAGCGTCGAGCTCCAGGTCCACAGCTCATTGTTCATGCAGGTCGTCGTAGCCGAGCCGCCCGTAAAACCAGGCTTGCATGTGTACTGACAGGTGCACCCGTACGTTGTGCATTGACAGGTACTGGTGACGGCCACGGCGTTGGCTGGAGGCAACAAGAAGGTGCCACAGTTTTTCTTGGTGTCGCAGTTTGTATTCTTCCAGCCAACGCAGCAGCTCTTGGCGCCGTTGGTCTGGCAGGTGTAGCACGCGGCAGCATTATTCTGAGCCAAACAGTACTGACAAAAGAAGCCTGGCTGACCAGATACGCCGTTCGGGTAGTAGTTGGGGGTGCACGTGCCGCAGTCCTTGTCCCCATAGCCGACCGAGCAAGTGCAAACGCCTGTTTGAGTGTTGCAGCCAGTACAAGCGGGAGGATCGTTCACTCTGCAGTATTCGCTGCACCTCGTGCCATAAAAGAAGGTATCACACATGGCGCGATAGTAGACTTGCACTGCGGGAATGTTGTAATCGCCACCAGTCGTGGCGCCAATATTCACGCCTTGCCAAGGATTTACGTTAATGTTGCCATACTCTTGATTGGCATTGATGTACGTCTTTTGGGTGAGCAACGAACCCATGTCATCGTCCGCATCGAAAATCGGTCCGTCGATGTCGATGCAACTGACGCTCCATTGCACCGAGCCGTCCCAGTTCTCCACCGCGCCAACGTTGAGATCCAATGACCACCGAGGTGTGGCGCTCTGCTGTTCCGAAGCAATGAAGTTTATTTGCGGGCTTGAGCTACCAAATTTAACCCATCCAGTGCATTGCGGATCGCCTGAAACAAAAAGAAAAAAAACCAAAACCAAAACGATTAGTCAGGCCGTGTGTTGTCAAACCCAAAAAATCAACAAGCCCGGAACGTACATGCGTTTGCTTCTCCACAGTTCGATGATTGAGTGAAATACAAGGCGCGCGCAAAGCAAGTGGCACGATATGGCCCCGCAATGGCTGGCTTGTACAGGAGGGCGAAGGCGAGCGCAAACCCCAGAGCGAGTCGTTTGGCGGTTGCTGATGAGGGTACTCGGCCAAACCCCATGACTGCCTGTCAAATGTAGAAAAATCTAAACGAGAGAGAGAGAGAGAGAGAGAGAGAGAGAGAGAGAGAGAGAGAGAGAGAAAGCAAAGGAAGCAATTTCAAGCGAATGGGGAGTCGACGGTGAGCATTCAGCGTGTTACAAACAAAAGGCAATTTTGTCTTTTTTTTTTTTCCTTTTTTTTTTCTTCATATCACAACTCCTTTTCGTTCGCTCTCATTCTCTCTCGCTGTCCAACAATGCTCTCTGCAGTCGACTGCCTTGTTTATGTCGTTGTCAGCTCTTGTGCTTGTGGTTTTGCTGGTTGCCCGTTTGACAATCCAACCGCAGTTCCGTTTAGCAGCCGTTTTGCGGTGGTGCGAACATGTTGGACAAAAACAAAAGTTGCTAAAAAATGGGGGTTCTTCCGATTCCACTTTGACGACTGCGCCTGCGCCCTCCCGAAGCGTGAGTGAGACAACTGCTGTTGGGGTCTCTTGTACTGTGGGTGTGTGAGAAGCGGAGTCAGGGGGTAAGGAGTCGGGAGTGGAGTGACTCGGTGTAACCAAAGCAATGCCGTTCACCCGCAACAACAACAACAACAACAAAACCCACAACTGGCGCTTCCTGCTGTGAGTCATCGTCCGGCGAGTGCGGCGCAGCGACCCCACAACAAGCAAAAAATCAAGATCATCGTCATCATCATCGTCATTCTCATTTTGAGATGCACAGCGGGTGATTCGGACACAGTGCAGTGCGCAGATGCTGAAAATCGAGCTTACGTTCAAATCTAGCAAATTTGCAGTCCACTAAATGACAAAATAATAACAAAGACCGAAAAAAAAAGGACTAATTTGAACTTGACTGAATGAGATTGTCAGAGTAGAGATGTGATGCGTCGAGGTCGGAGCGATGGGCGAATCGCAGTCTCACTGTGAATGTTCAGTCCCGAAAGTGCCGAATTTGCGACACAACCCAATCTACAGCATTGCATTTCAACGACCAAACCACGCTCCGGTGCCAAACGCACAGCCTACAGTTGCTGATAAATCACACAAGAAGACGCAAAAGCAAAGCTACTAGTATGTAGGGCTCATTCACAACAGTGATCGGACCCACCAAAGTCCAACAAACAGCATAAAAACCATTGCTCAAAAGCAGCAACAAACAAGAAATCATCATTAACAGGTATATAACAAAAAGAAAGTATCAAAGCAAAAGCACACACAAACTCAAAAGGTAGAGTAAGCAACCTCCAAGGGCCAACTCGCAAACTCAAAAGACACAGCAACAAACGAAAACAGCGCGAAAACCAAAATCAAAAAAACAAATCACTCATTGTCAGCCGGAATAAAGAAGGACTGGGTGGTGGTGGAATGCGCTCCGTTGTGAGCACGCAAGAGACCAATGTAGTTGTCGAGCCGCACGAGCTTGCGAGAATCGTCAAACAAGCCGGCGGTCGTGTAGTAGCAGAAGCGGTTGGCGTCGTGGTGCCACGCCATCTCCTTGCAGTGCGTGATCGAAGCAGGCATGTCGAAAATGTTGTCGTAGCAAGCAATCGCGGTCGAAGGAGCGCCAGGCACCGCCTCATCCCAGGTCAGGATGGACATGTCGGAGGGTGCGATAGGTTTGGTCAGGGCAAACTCGACCTCAACGCCAGCTGGACTCGATTCAGGGTCTCGCACACCAAAGCCAATCACAAGCAACTGATCTGCCTCCCAGCAGCTCGCCGTGGCGTTCTCTGCAAACACGGGCGGCGTCAAGTCAATCAGGGCCGTCGCGGTCGTGGGTACAGTCGAGTAGCCGGCGCGGTTGGTTGCAACGACGCTCGCGCGGTACACACCGGAGTGCGCGAGGGGCTTGTTGGTGATTTGGACAAAGTTCAGAGTGGCAGGGATGGTGCCGTTCTCGAGCATCACCCAGTCAGCTCCGCGTTGCTCCTCGAATGCGAACGAGTAGGTGGCAAGGCCAGAGTGCAGGTCGGAAAAGTCCTCAATCTCGAGCAGAACGGACGAGTTGGCAGCAAGATACTCGACGGCGCCACGAAGATAGTCGTAAATAACCACGCTGCCCACGGTTGGAGTGATGGCAGTGATTTGGACACCATCGCTGTGCGCCACCGTGATGGCTGCGACGTTGTTGACAGCCTCCAGCGTCACAAAGTACTTGAGTCCGTCAGCGCCAGAGGTCAGGTTGAAGGACGCGCTGGTCGCCAGACCCACCGACGTCATGGGCATCACGTTCAAAAGTCCCTTGCCCGTGCCGATCGCCCAGCGGTACTCGAGAATGCCCGACTCTGGATCGTCAAAGCCGTCCCAGTTGGCCGAAATCTCGTTGGTGGGTTGGTAGACGGCATCTTCCGTGGTGCTGAGACCGTCCCTCAGCTGACCCAGCGCGGGCGGCGTGAGGTCCACGAGCAGCTTCTGCGACGTCATCTTGGCGCGGATACCAGCGCCATTGATGGCCACCAGCGTAATGTAAATCTCCTGTCCGTGAAGCAACTCCAAGGCCGAGTTGGTCGCGTTGGTGGCCTCGCCTTCGACCTCGAGATACTCTTGGATTTGCGTGCCGCCGGGCCGCGTGCCGATGGCCCACTGGAAGCGGTCAATGCCAGATTGCATGTCACGCCAGTTCGACCATGTGACAATGATTTGCGTCGGATCACGCTGCGCACAAACAGTCGGAGTGCACAGGGCATGGCGCTCGGGGTCAAACGGCAGCAACGCGCCAACGTCGGGTGCAGACGCGTCGGGCACCAGGCCGTCGGAAACAACAACGCTGCTGCTGGTGCCAACAGCATTGAGCACGTACACCGAAACGTACAGCTTGCCAGCCAGCGGCGTGGGCGAGACGAACGTGGCATTGACTTGCAGGCCGACCGAGGTGAATTCCAGGACGTCGTCAGCACCAGGAGTGGTTCCGATCGCCCAGAAGTACTCGGCCAGCGGAGCGTACATCCCTTCGAATCCCCACCACATTGCAGAAACAGTGTATGGATCGCTGCTGTAGTCGGCGTCCTCCGGGCCCAAGCCGTCCACGACAACACCGGCCATTGGCGGCTGGTTGTCCACCATGACGCCGTCCGAGGCACGCTCCAAAAACAAGCCAGACTCGGTGTAGCAGCGAATTGTCACATAGTAGTGGTGACCCACCAAGAGTGACTTGCCGTGCGCCGCCAGATCGAACGTGACATTGGTTTGCTGGCCAACAGGAGTAAAGTCCTGCACATTGTTCAAGTAGGGAAGTGTGCCGACAGCCAGCTCGTAGCGGTTGGGCAGCTGCGGGGAAGTGTCAAAGGCTTGGCTCCAGGATGCCGAGATGGAGCTCGAGCTCGACTGGTAGTCCAAGTCCTTGTCAGGCACAAGACCATCAAGCACGCGATAGCCACGCTGCAGCACAGCACGAGGCGCAGAGTCCAACACCTTGACGCCATTCGAGTTGGCCAGGTAGCACGTGCCGTCGTTGGCAATCGCTCGCACTTGGAAGAGGTACTCTTGCCCTTCAATCATCTTGAAAGAGTCGCCGCAAACTTGCGTTGGGAAGGCCTTAAAGTTGGGATTGTGCACAGTGCCAACCGCAACACCGCTTCGCGTTGCCATGTCGGCAGTAACCGCGTGCAGGAATTGGGTGCACAAGACATCTCCGTCGGACAGACCCGAGCGTGACTTGATGGAGAATTCGAAACGAACAAACTTGCTGCAGATGGTCGAGTGCGAGCTGCACCAGTTGGAAAAGTCAAAGTTGCCAGAGAAGGTGTCGTTGTACGGTTGGTAGGTAATGTCCGAGCCAACCACAAACCCGTCAAGGACTTGCACGCTGCCAGTCAGGTTGACTGTGTTGTTGGAGGCACACACGACATCGGCATACGGCAACAGGCGCGAGTCTTGCAGCGAGCGAGAGTACGTCGGTTGGGCACACCACAGCGACGCGCCATTTCGCGCAGTCACTGCAACAGAATACGGCGTCGTCGTGGCATCAAAACCGACAGGCAAAGTGACAACGGTCGTCATCAGGGTGACGGTCGCGTTGGGAGTGGGCGTGACATCCTGCGACACGAGGTTCGAACCAAGCAACGCAGAGCCCACCAGCACACGGTATGTCGCAATATCAGACTCCTCGTCAACAAAGGCATCCCATGTCACGCGGATAGTCGTCGATGACAGCACTTGGTGCTCCACCCAGCCGCCAGCGGGCGACGACCAGTCCACCACAAACGCCGGGGAGCTCACCAGCGCCGAGCCGACACCCGCGCCGTTGACGCCTTCAGCGACAATGTGGTACTTTTCACCAAGCTGCAAGGCGAGTTGTGAGACCATGCCACCAGGGTAGGTGCCGGTCATCTCAATGTCCATAATGTCGCGGCCGCGATGGCCCTTGTGCTGGAGAATGTTGACTGCCGTGTAGTTGACGGGGCGAACGTGCCAAGTGTACTCAAACAAACCAGACTCGCCATCGGTAAAGCCAGACAGAGTCGTCTTGACGAGCGCGGAGGAAATCTGGTAGGTTGATGGGACATTCGGGAAGATGGGATCCAGGGCGACAAGGCCATTCGTCGGCGGAGTGGCATCCACGCGAACACCGTCCGAGATGCCAGTCACATACAAGCCAGCGCCATTGTACGCGCGGACTCGAGCAAAGTAGCGCACGCCGTGCGCCAACGAGACTTCTGGATCCAGCGCCGATTCTTCCAAAAACACAGTCTCCCAGCCGCGCGTGTTGCACTCTGCGCCCGAGCCTTCGCTCTCCACGCACCAGTCAAAGCGGGCAATGCCAGAATGGGCGTCATGGAAGCCGTACCAATGCGCTCCAATCATGTCTGTCTGCGACTGGAAGACCAAGTCGAGATGCGAAAAGCCGTCAAACACGCGACCGGTCGAGGGACGCGAGCCATCCACGCGAATGCCGTTAGACGTGCCGACAGAGCAGAGCCCGGCCATATTGCAGGCGCGAAGCGTCACAAAGTACTTGCGACCGTCGGTCAGTGACAGTCCGCTGCGCGATGCGACAGTGCTGGTTCCCACTGGGGTGAAGAGCATGACATCCTCGTGGTTTGGCTTGGTGCCGACAGCCCACTCAAACACCTTGATGCCAGACTCGGGATCGACAAAATTGAGCCACTGGCCAGCAATGCTTGTGCGGTTGGTGGAATAGTCGTCGTCCTCTTGGCGGATGCTGGCGATGGAGGCGACATCCAGGACCTGGCCGATGGAAGGCGGCGTGCTGTCCACCGTGATGGGCAACGACGATGCAAACGAGTGGAGTCCGGCACCATTTTCAGCGCGCACCACAATGTAGTAAACGTGTGCTTGCTGGATGGCGTTGGCCAGGTTGGTTTGCGTCGCCGAAGACATGGAAGGCACACGAACAAACGGCCGAACGTTGGCGAGACCAGGGACGGTACCAATGCCCCAGGAGTACGAGTCAATGCCCGACTCGAGATCGACAAAGCCAGCCCAATCCACCGTGATGGCGTTAATGTCGGTATGGTACTGGTTGGCCACAATGCGCGCCACCGTGACCTTGCCCACCACGGGCGGTGACGGGTCCAGAATGATGCCATCCGAGAATGCAGTGGCACTCAGACCCACCAAGTCGGTGCCGCGAACGGTGATAAAGTAGCGCACGCCCGCTTGCGGCGCAACTTGGAAGCCGTGCGTTGCCGACTCGGCCGCTGCCACCGCCTTGAGCGCAGTGCCGACGTGTCTAAACTCAAACACATCAATGCCGCCTGGGGACGAGCCAATCGCCCATTCGTAGTACGCAATGCCTGTGAGGTGGACGAGCTCTGACTCCTCCAGATCAACGAAAGGCTGCCAGCTGCCGTACATTTCAGAGATGGAGACCTGATAGTCCTTGTCGTTGGCCAGCGAGTTGCACAGGAGCGAGCCGTCACAAATGTGCGCGGGAACGGGCGGGGTTAGATCCACCGTGATGCCGTTCGAGCAGCCGTACGTGAAGGGCGCCTCAATGCTGCCGACGCGGCCGCGGAAGCAGACATAGTAGCGCACGCCCTGCAGCAGATGCAGACCGATGGCGGTCACGACACGAGGCAAGTCCACATTGTTGGATGACGGGACAATGGCGTCGTTCGGCAGTAACGGAGCAGTCGAGTTGGCCACAAATGTGCTGTTGATGACCGACTTGGCGACGTTTTGCGCAGAGGCAATCTTGGACAGCTCCATGCGGTTGCGGAACTCGATCAGCGAAGCATTCGCCGTTTCAGTGCGAAGATCAAACCAGCCGACCGGAACAAAGTTCTCGCCAAGCGGAATGTCGGGCGTCAGGAGAGGCGTGTCCGAGTTGATCACGCTGAGCGAGAATTGCCAGCGAACGCCGCCGTTCAGGACGCGGCCAGTCATCGGATCGGCCTCCAAGAATGAGTTGTGAGTGGCCGGATTGGCATTCAGCCCACCCACGCCGAGCAGCAGGCTGCTGTTGGCGTGCAAAAAGTGCGGCTTGGACATGTACAGAGGGTACTGCTCCCACATGAGCAGCGGCTGCGCGCCATCTACCATCAGCGCAAACTGCGCGCGCGCAAACTCCGAGGCCGCCAGCGCGTTCGATGCAAGCTCAAACCGGTTGACAGTGTGCAGATTGTTGAGCGCAGAGTTGCCAGTGTACTCGAAGCTCGAGGCGCGGCGCATGTCGCGGTCGAAAATGTAATAGTGCGTGCGAAGCGGGGCGTCCGACAGCCAGGTCGTGTTGCGCAATGCGCAAGGGAGCTGCACGCCGTCGTAACCAGCCACTGCAGATGTAAATCCGGTGGTCGCCAGCTCTGCCAGCCCACCAATACCAGCAAAGTAGTTGACGTTCTCAATGTCGTCGGTTCCCGTGTGCATTTGCTCAGGCAGAGCCGTGCTGGTGGCCGCAGCAGCACTGGCATGGTGCGTCAAGATTCCACGCACTGTTTGCTGGCCAAAGGTCGGATCCATGACCTTGAGACGAGCCAGCATGCGATCCTGGTATCCAAGAACAACATCTCGCACCAAGCGCGTGCAGACCAGCCGCGAGTCGTAGTAGTCGAGGAACGCCGTGGCCAGGTACATAAAGTAGTTGCTCATGACGTCCACGAGGTCGATGCGGCGTTGAGCAGACATTGTCACGCCCTGCAGCAAGCCGGCGAGCGCGTCCGCCTTGAAGGCCGGACTGTCTGAACTGAGCACAATCAGCTGCACAAACTGGTCCAAACTCGCCATGTTGGTGAGAATACCATAGACTGCGCTGGCTTCCGTCTGCGTGAGAGCAAAGTACTGCGACGACGCCAAGTTGCCATAGGTCGCGGGGTTCAGCCAGTGAGCGTACGTGAACAGCTCCAAGCCGGATGCGACTGGCAACTCGTTAATTTGGAGATAGGGAACCGCCGTGCTCATGTTGGACGAGATGGTCGGGATGACGGAAGCCCTGCCGAGCTGGTACCACAGAAGGTCGTTCAAAGAGGCCTCGATTCCACCGCCAATAATGTTCAGCTTGGCAGTGTAGTCGCTCGTGGCAAGCATGTCGGTCGTCAGCACGCGGGCCAAGGTAGGCAGCCAGTAGGACAGCTGTGTTGCAACAAGATACTTGAGTGCTTCGACCTCCTTGTACGTTGCCGTGCGGTAAAGGTAGAGGAGACGAAGGTAGGCGGCGTTCAGTACGACAACGCCATCGGATGTGTCGTTCCGCCCGCCTGACAAGGCCGAATCAAACTCTTGGCGGACGTAGCGCACATAATCGAGCTGCGTGCGTTTCGAGTCGAAGGTGGCCGCAAGGCGCTCTTCCACCTGCTTGTAGACGTACGGCCCAACCTCAGCAACGATCGGCTGTGCCAGCCCTGCAGTCCAGTTTTGCGCGTTGGTCAAGTTGAACAGGTACACGTAGTTGTGGCGCACGGGCGCAACATCCTCGACTGCCAGGTTGTTAATCCAGTTGGCAAACGACAGGGGCATGTCGACACGCGGCAAAGGAATGATTGGCTGGAAGCGCTGCACGTCCTCAAACACAATCGTGTTGTCCAGAGGGACACCGGCAGTACCGATTGACCACTCGTACGTGTAGCGCATGATTGTGTCAGGGAAGCCGTCGAACGAGGCAGCGAGGGAGGAATCAGACGACGTGTAGTCACGATCCGCCAGAACAAAGCTCGAGTTGCTGGTGACTGACGAGGCAGATGCCAGATCAACATCCAGAATGTTGATGCGGCGAGACTGAGCAAACATTGTGCCGTCAACGGGCACCGCGGGAACGGTCCGATCAGTGCGCAGCCCCACGCGGTTCCACGCACGAAGCGTAATGAACATGGGTGTAGTAAAGGCCACAGGGAGCTCCATCAGCCGATGCACAGTGTTGCTGACCTGGTACGGCTCGGACACGTTGAAAAACTCTGTCACGAATGCGGTTGGCGACGGCAGCGTGCCGATGGCCCACGCATACTGCAGGACATCCGACTCGTAATCTTCAAACTCGTCGAATTCGATGTTAAACTGCACCGTCGTGCGAGTGGGGAACTCGAGAGTTGCAGAGAGTCCACCCGTGGGGACAGGCGGGCTGTCGTCGATGCGGTACAAATCCGTCGAGCTAATCACGCAGGTTGCGGCCTTGTCGCACACTTGCACGTACACCCTGAACTCGTCGCCAGCAGAGAAGCTGAGCAGGCCGTTTTCTCCTCGAGCGATGGCACCGGTTGCAACGTAATCGGTCGGGTTGGGCGGATCAAACAGCGTCACACCAGCAATGCCCGCGTACTCGGCCTCGGGGGCCTCGTCATGCGACACAACAATCGACCACAGGTAGTGCGAAAAGGTGTCATCGGAAGAAAAGTCCGTCCAGGTTGCCGTCACGGAAGTGGTCGACAGCTGGAAGCCAAAGATTCCGCCAAAAGAAACGTTGGCCTGGCGCTCATCGAACGTGTTGGTCTCGACTGAAATCACAGCAGGTGTGGGGGAGGATGGCAAGATGCGCACACCATCCGAGAAGGCGGTTGCAAACAACCCCTTTTCGTTGAATCCGCGAACAGACACATAGTAAACAACTCCTGGTGCAAGGACGTAGCCAGCTCCGAGCGCATTCAGCAAGTACCATGTCTGGCACTTGCGGTTGCCGTGGACGTCAAAGCCACACGGCAGCGAGCCGCCAGCAAACGCCAGGATATCCTCGGCGCCCGCACTCGTGCCAATGGCCACCTCGTACAGCGCAATGCCAGTGTGCGGATCATTGAAGCCATCCCACACGGCAAACAGGCCAGGCGCTCCATTGTGCGCGTCAATGTCAATGTGCGACTCGGGGCCAAGCGTTTCAACAACGGTGCCGGCGTAGGGCGGGCTGCGATCCACCAGGAAGGGCGTGGCAGCGCTCGAGGTGGAGAACAGGCCAGCATGCGACCACGCGCGGACCGTCAACCAGTAGCTGTGGCCGTCGAGAAGCTTGGCGAGCGGCTCGCTGTCGATCTGCAAATTGCAGTTAATGTTGTGCGTGTTGTTCGTGCAGGTCACCCAGTCGTAGAGTCGATAGTTTTCAACAGGAGACCGAATGAAGGGCTTGATGTCTTCATTCTCCATGTACGAGCCAATGGCCCAGTCAAAGTGGTCGACGCCAGAGACAATGTCAATCATGCCGTTCCAGGACACGAGGATCTGACCGCTGCCGCCCTGTGCCACCTGCACAATACCCTCTGTGGGAGGGCTGATCACGACAATGTACTCTTCGGCGGAGGTGCCCGTGATTTCACGACCCGACATGGTCACGGCAACCACGTTAATGACAAACTCCTCGCCGTCCTCGAGCTGGATACCAGGCTGGATTTGAAGCGTCAGGCTGTTCTCAAGCACGCCGTCATTCCAAAAGATGCGGTTGCCCACCTCGGTGTGCTCGGCCGCAGTGCCCAAGCCCACGCGATAAAAGGCAACGCCAGCGCCCTCGTCCAAAAAGTTCCACTCGAGCTCGACACGCAGCTTGCTGGCTCCGTCGGCGAGGCGGACGTACTGGCGACCGTCTGTGCCGCGGTAGGAATTGGAGACTTTGATGGCGTCAAAGTGCGCTTGGGCATCGTGATCAACGTCAATACCGTCCGAGCACACGGCCACCGTGCTGTCGGCGGCGTTGTACGCACGCACAGCAAAGTGAAAGCGGCGGTTGTAACGCAAGGTCTGATTGGCCGACGCGCCAAACTGCCGCTCTCCCATCGTGGCAAGGAGCTGCGAAGTATTGTGACGCACACCGGCGGCATCCAAGTAGCCTTGCTGCAGATCGACCGAAGCGCGACGCGCGCCATAGTCAAACTTTTCTGTCGTGTCCTTGAGAAGAGGGTCGCTGGTGGTCTGGAACGGCTGGATGACACACATGACCGCTGGACAGGCGCCCTTCACGGCACGCGCTGGCACCTTGTCACCATGGACGTGCACGGCGTGAGCGTCCGTCACGACCAGCTGCTCGGCGCTTGTCGGGCATAGCACATTGCAGGCGTCTGGGTCGCCAGAAACGGGGGAGCAAGGCGTTCCCAATGCGTACTCGTAGTGGTGAATGCCAGACTCGTGGTCAAAGAACGAGTCCCAGTAGGCAAAGAGCTCCAGGCTGTTCTGGTGGTCAATGTCGTTGATCAGGCCTGCGCGCTCCACGTCGGCCACAAACCCGGGCTCGGGCGGAGTCAAATCCATGGTGACCTGGGCGCTGCGGGTCGTGAACAGTCCAGCACGGTCTGTCACCATCATGCGGAACTCGTACGAAGAAAGCTGGTACGCATGGAACTGCTCGCGCTGCAGCGTGATTTGCATGGAGGTGAGCGCAGCCGTTTGCAGCCGGTAGAACTGCTTGTCGCGTTCCGTTGGCGAGGAGGTGACGGGATCCTTGAAACCATCCTCAAACACGTCGGGTCGCGCTTGGCCAGTGATGCGACTCGGCAAGTCGGACTGAAGCTTCAGCGGCAGGTACAATCCTGCAGGCATCTCTTGACAGGTGCCCGTCGGATACGTTCGGCAGAGCTTCCAGTCGACGGACGGCCAAGTGCCAAGACCAACGCCCGACTGGGTGTCGACAACCCAGAAGAACACGTTCATGTTCATCAGATTGGATTGATACACTTTCGAGTTATGCGTGCGACCGCATGCATCGCCGGTGCCCACAATCAACTGCGACACGCTTGGCGGGTCGAGATCCACGAGCACTGTGCGGCGGGCCCATGCACTGACATGCCCAAACATGTTGTAGGCGCGCACGTAAAAGTGATACCAAAAGCCACTCTTGAAGCGGGTCCCGGACTGGGACTCGAGAACGGCTTCGGTGGATGTCACAAGGCCATTCGACACGCCGACAAAGATGGTGGAACCAGCAGTGACTCGCACCTTGATGGTGGGATCGCTTGAAGGCGTGTTCGGATCCATCGATGCGGCAGGCGCATTCAAGCCGGTTGTAGTGAACCTGAATTCGTACGAGAAGATGGCCAGCCGCTGCGGTGAAGCGAGATCGGTGTCCAGAATGGATTGGTCCAGGTAGCCGGGATCGGGAGTAATCAAGTTGGCGCCAGGCCGATCGTACTGATCGTTCATGTTGTCCAAATCGGTATTATTGAAGGACAGGCTGCGAAGGATGTCCTGATCAGGCTCCATAAAAACGTGATTCCAGCGGAATCGGAAGCTCTTGTCGTGTGTTTGGTACCACTTTTCATTGCCAGTTGGTTTGTAGACGTGGGCAGGATGATACGACGCATTGCTGGATGTGTAACTGGGATCGACAAACATGTTCTTGAGCTCCAGGTCACGATCGACGAGGTTGATCTGGGCATAGTGGTCCCAGACAACGCTCGGATCGGGAATGTATGCCCGATTCGGTAGATTGTTGGTTTCCGACGTAGCTCGGCATCTGTCCTCAGCATTGCCAATGTTCCACGGCTTGGGCAGCTGCGGGAGTGCTCCAGCATCCAAGCACTCGGCCACGGTGGCGCTGGGAGCAGTGAGGTCGTAGGACAGCATCCACAACGCCGAGCGGCCGTCACCAGCCGCATTGGCGACACGGACCTTGACAGTATACACGTTGTTGTTGACCGGAAGTGTATTGCTCGGAAAGGTGACAGAGATGCTAGCAGGATTGGACGAGGTAATATTGCCGCTCGTTTGAATCAGCGGATTGGACCAGTCTTTGCCCTTGAAAACGGCAGCACTCCAGGTTCTGATTGAGGACTGCATCTCAGAGAACGCCGAGGGCCTAAACTTGAACTGGGGCCACGCCGGGCTTCCAGTCTGCGTCACACAAGCAGCCAAGGCAGGGTTGGTAGCGCGGGACTGGCCTTTGAGCGGGCCGGTAAAGCTGCACGAGCCAGCAATCCAACGCGGGCTGGTGTTTGCCTGGTCAAACACATCCGCGGGGGAGGCCAGAACAGGGCGAGTGGGGTCGAACATGATGATAAACTTGGAAGAGCGTTCGGTGCGTTGATTGCTCAGGACAAAATTGTTGGTAAATCGATAGTTGATGGTGAGCTTGGTGCATTCATTGACAACGCCGTCCGCAGGGCGGGCGCTTGAGAAGATGCGACAGCTTGCCGGCGGATTGAACTTGATGTTGTTTGTAGCACCCGCAGTGATTTCGTACCAAATGCTGCTGCGGTATGTGTTGTACGGAGGGGCGAAATTGATGTCGCCTGCAAAGGAATTACTGCAGCTCAAACCGCAAGACGAACTGGAGAGAGGGCGCATTTCCTGTGATGCCCAGTCGAGATACTTCAGGAAGCCATTGACAGAGCCACTAGTTTCGGGGGGATAATTCGTCGCAGGTACCCAATCCTTGACCAGCCAAGCGTTGGTCAATCCGGCTGCGTTCGTTCCGGCGCTCAGAGGAACGAGGACGAGGTCTTGATCGGCGGGGTTGGGCGCACCCTCGTAGTTGAACTCAAACCGAATGTACATGCCGAGTTTGTTGCGGGATTGAGCGTTGTAATGATAATCATACTGCAACTGCCCTCCACCCGTGGTATCTTTCACCCACTTGTAAGGATCTGGCATCAGAGGGTTGACAATGCCCTCAAATGTTCGCACTTCCGGATTGAGCGAGGACTGCAGCGAGCGGTACACGGGGACTCCGCTCTGAGGGCTGTTGGTGTTCTCCACAAGGGTCTGCGTCAGATAAAACACGGGAACAGCAGTGTCGCACCGCAGACCATTCCAAATGTTTGCAATGGAACCGTCGCTAATGCCGAACGTGGCAGGGTACCCGTAGGCAGTCTTTGTACACGTGCATAGATTGGCTTGATCCAAGCTTGGGTTGCCATGATAACAACCAGAGTTGAGTGCACTCCACGCAGAGAGAGTAGGGTCATCTTGACCCGGCCATTGGAAGTACCACTGGTGGTTGCTGCCAGACATGGAATTATGGTCGACAAAACCGCCAAGTTGCAGTCCCAAACTGTTGAACTCGAAGGTCGGAGGGCGACACTGACGAGAACGACGCGTGCTGGAATACAGGAATGAGCAGTAATCCGTCGTCGAGGATTCGCAAAACTTTGAAAACTTGGTAAACACGGTTTGACTCGGCGGCTTTGTCAATCCAAAGTAGCAATCAGAGAGCTCATTGTTCACTCCCGATTGACAGTGACGGCTGAATGGGATGTAGTTGGTTGACGATAACGGGCTGCAATAGCATGTACCGCCGAAAGATGTCGTCAACGGGGAATTGAACCTGGGAAAGTTTGGCACAGCTAGCTGGAAATGGATATCGATGCCCGAGCCTGGGCCAGCGTCGGTGGTGTACAGCGAAGATTGCGCACAGTGTCCGGTTGGATAATTCCTGTTCAAGTCCGGCTCGCTCCAGCCTGGAATTGTGTAGCGCGTGTCGCAACTGCACGTTTCGGAGCACGAAGAGCCCCATTTGTTAAAGTCGCAAACGAGAGAGTCGACGCATGTGCGGAAGCGGTAGATACGATCCTCCTTGTCATTGTTGTGATAGCTAAAATGCGCCGTCATCACGGAACCGGGCTGGTCTCCGTATCGCGCTTCAAAAGCGATCGTGTCGTCCCAGTTGTTCAGATTGCCACGGTCTCGACACGAGCTGATTCTCTGGGCCGTGTTAGAACCAACCCGGCAAAAGTAGTGTTGTGTGACGCGATCCTCTTTGTCGTTGTCGTGAACCGACTGTCAAACGATGGGGCAAAAAGTTTGTCTTGTCAGCTTTCATTCCTTCTTCTGCTTGTTCAAACACGGGTGGCACGGCGCTACTTACATGCCAGCCGGTAATGGCGGCGCCAGGGTTGCCCGAGCTGGCACCGACGTCAAAGTTGATGGGAGTGTCATAGTTGTTGAGGTAGCCAGACCACTGGCAGCCTGCCCAGTTGGTGTACTGCACACCGTTGCACACAAACCAGAACAGGCGATCCTCCTTGTTGTTCGAGTTCTCAGCATACCATCCGGTGATTGCTTGTCTACTTGGGCACGTGTACTCCACTGGCTGTTCTCGCAACAAAACACACGCACACTCAGCGGGTAAGCGAAGAACGCCAATAATGGCAAAAACAAACAACAAAAACACCCAAAAGTTCGTACCGTGTCCCAGTTGTTCACCCATCCTGGGCCCCAGTAGCCTCGGCTCTGCCACCAGCTGATCACGGCGCCTTTGACACCGCCATCCGCGAAATTTTGACCATGAACCTGGATCACAGGGGTCAAAGACGACCAAAGGGTTAGTAGAGCCAAATTTCAATCAATGATTCACCCATTCAACCAAGCATTCAGCCATGTTTCCTCTTCCCTTTCCTGCTCCCTCTCTTCCTCCTCCTCCTCCTCCCCTTCTACTTTCACCACAACCGTGCACAATTCAACGACAAGCACGAGACACCTCGTTCCCCAAAAACATGCACACCAAAGCCAAAAAGCGATCCTTCCTTCCTTCTTTCGATAGTGATGTTTTTCTTGTCCTTTTTTTTTTTTTTTTTTTTTTTTTTTTTTTTTTTTTTTTGTCATTAATGGATTTTAATTGCTTTTTCCCGCTTCAAGCACAATAGAACGCACGTCTGTTCCACCAACCACCCGCCACCAGCCACTCTCCAAGTATGCATAAGTATCACCAACTGGCTCGAATGCACAAGCAAAGGCGGGTGAGGGGGGCGATGAGCAATGACAGAAATGAGGAAAGGCGTGGGTTTGACCGAAAAGAAAGAAAGAAAAAAAAAAAAAAAAAAAAAACACTGCTATTGGATTGGAATCCTTTTTGCTTTCAATCCCGCAGAGTTGGACGTTTCTATGCGCAAACTCGCCCAACATGCACTGCACACAAAAGAGCAATAAAAAAGCACTGGGGAATGGCTCCTCATCACTTGTCGCAGTGGGAGCGGAGGGGGGGCGGCGGTTTGAGACAGAGACTCCGCCCCTCTGCAATGGGCAGATTCGACCAGCGCGAGGTTGCTCAAACACCGCTCAGCCCTGACCACTCTCCCAGCTGCCTGAGTTGGACAAACATCGTCGTTGTGAATGCTGCAGGGTCGGCGACAACACTTCCCCCCCCCCCCCTAGCTCAAAACACACGAGAAGCCCTGCTATTGAGGTTTTTCATTATTCTTTTGCTTTTTGTGAGTTGCGATCAATCAATCGCGGGAAAAGCACACTCAACTGGATCGATGGCGACAATGGCAAGGACGGCGAGGAAGCCGAGAAGGGCGACGGCGAGCGTGCTGCTGGTTGCAGAGCGACGAAGGACGTGCTTGGAAGGGAATCCAATGCCGCATCCCATTGCTGCTGGTGCTAGTGCTGCAACTGGTGCTGTAGCCCCACGAAGGGCGGGAGGCCAGCGGTGACCACCACTGCGGTCCCTCTCCATCTTGCACTGGGAAGGAGAGGAGGAGGAGGAGGGGTGGCTGTGGGTGAGACGAGAAGAGGGAGAGAAGAAAAGCAGAAGAACAAGGGAAAAAAAAAAAAAAAAAAGCAAAGATAGAGAAAAAGAAGAGAAATGAAGCTGAAACGGCACCAAAAAGGGTCGGACATGAGCATTGAATAGCAAGAGAGAATATTGGAATACGAAAAGGGAGAAAAAAAAAGGGGGGGGGAAGGAAATGACAAAGGTGAAACGAAATGAGCGGTGGAGGTTGTAATTTGACAATTTAGCAATGCAAAGTGAACCAGAAGCAAAGCGAAGCAACAACGCTGTGTCTCAGATCGAAAGAAACATTGTGAGGGTCGAATGTTGCACTCGGCAGGCAAGCTGGATAAAAGATATCACGCTGTTCTCGAACGGATCAAACGAAGCGACCGAGCCCATGTCAACTTCAAGTCGCACGAGCCTGCAAGCATTGTCCAATAGCAACATGATTCTTGACCATCGAGTTCCGTGAATGTCTGTCATTGTCTGACTCACGGGGAACAGGACAGTGAATCCCATGGCTGCGTTTTGTTGGCCAATTTGTAGTTGGTTGAGCAAGGGCGGGATTTTGAAGCAATGCATGACTGCAGTGCATCAAAGAAGCTTGTACATGAATGTATGTGGCCTTTGTATTGAAAGATCGTGGTGTGACCGTTGGATTTGAAACAAAGTAGAGCATTTTGCTGAAATAAATAAACGGGGTCTGGGAGGAGCCTGGCCATCTACCGACCAGCATTCCCTCGCCCAGTGGCATCCTGCGAGTAAGAAGATGGTCGTGATTGTCGGTGACTCATCCACCGCCGGCCGAGGAGCAGTGCTGCAACGGACGATTTTTCGCGATCAGAGGATAGGGTTGATGTGTCTCGCGTCGTGCTCCGAGAAGCACCCGCGCTGGTGTCGTCGATAAGCATGCCACTGCTCGAGCTCGTGGGATCTCGCAATGCAGTGGGATCTCGCAACGCAGAGCCTCCTGCTGCTAGCGTCTGCATTTCAACGACTTGCGACGGCCGGCTCATCTCCATGGATGGAGAGCGCACCGCCGCCTCTTCTTCGTCCAGTAGGTGCGTTGTTACGTGCCGGTGTTGCCGCCGCCGCCGGTACCATCGGTTGAGCCAGCCAATGGAGCGGCCTCGCCCGTCGCCGCCAGCAGCAGCAGCGGCCGCAGCAGCCGCAGCAGCCCGCACAGCCGTCGGAATGGTGTTTCGAGTCAAGTAGAATAGCACGCCAAACGCAAACGCCGCGAGCAGTGCGCCACCCATGACGATGGCGAAGAGCGACGCAGCGGAAATTGGCAGGTCGAGCGGGAATTCTGGCTCGGGCGTCTCTGAATAGGACTCTGTTGGCGACTCGTCCGACGGAAACAGCGACTCGTCGGTCGGTGTGAGTGACTCGATGATTGTCGTCAGCGACATCCAGTCTGTGGAGGTCTCCAAAGCGCTCAAGGTGGGGGCAGCGGTAGAAATCTCGACCGTTTCAGTCGTTGTGGCAGCAATGCTTCCGTCTCCAATGGAAGATGCCATCGTCTCTTGGACCAGTGTGCTATCTGTACTCGCGAAATCCATCACCGAGGAGCCATCGAGGATGGACGTGACGGCGCTCGTCAGCAGCGAGGAGCTCCATTCCGCGAACGAGCTGGGTGAAGCCGAGTCCGGCAACGACGAGGTCGACTCGGACGATGACGCCGCCATCAGCGTGGCTATGACACTACTTTTTTGCTTTGTGCAAGACTCTCGAGACGCGGTGGGGCTGTTGGGACGTTGGCCGTGGGCTTTGGGTTTGGCTTCGGTTGTGCACAAACTCCAATGGTTGTTCCTGCAATCGAGCAAAAGGTTGGAAGACTGAGATATTGGATGAACACTATTGGAATATCAGAAGCATGTCCTACGCAATAAAGTGCAGTTGCGAGATTGTAGATCTACAGTAGGGGCTATCAGAATTGACTGAATAAGGATTGATTCACTGGCCGCTACTGTACTCACCGAAGTGCTGATACTGTGCCCAGAAATCCACTCATTCGATTGTGACGAAAACAGTGGAACATCATTGAAATCGAGGACCAGTCTTTTGGGTTGTTCTTTGAGTTTGCATTGAGCCTTTTTTGAAAGATGAGTGCTGGAAAGCCATTGGAGCACAGCGGATGGCACTTCACAATGCTGACCTCGAAAGAAGCCGAAGAGTACGAAACCCATGGAATGGAGATGAGAGGCAGGGGCAGCTCGAGCCGAGTGAGGGGAGGATGGCTGCGTTTTGCATTGGGGTTTTGCATTTGAGCGCGGCTCTGAACTCGCTCAGCCATCAGATGTGACGCCATCAACTGACAAGCAACACACACTACTGCTATGGCTTGAATCCGCCGTTATTAGGGCCGAGGCGTACCTGCGGATTCCGCTGCCAGAGATGGTCTTTGGCAAGAACACTTTGGTCGCCGAGCACAGCGCGTCCAAGTTTGCATTCTACTTTAACGCAATCGACGCACTGGATCGAGTGGACAAGACGACCGACTCGGTCAAGGTTAGCTATGCGAAGGAATGGGCGGCGACACGGTAAGAATACACACAAGCAGGAACGAAAGCCACGGATTCTCAGATTTCTGATTTCTGAGAAAATTCTGGCTCAAAATCTCTTTGACATTCGTTCTCATCTTGAATCTGCTTGCAGGACGCATTCGGCAGGCATCAACGACGTTATCAAGCCGTTTGACTGGACATTCTCGTCCGATTACACGGGCACGCTGATCAACCCGGACACGGTCACCATCACCGAGATTGACGAGGAGATTGACATGGAAAAGTTGATGCAACGCGACGCCATCCTGCACTACAGCGACGTGTTGCTGTACGAAGATGAGCTGGCTGACAATGGCTGCTCAATCATGAACGTTAAGATTGTACGTTTCTGAGCCAAAGACTGCAAATCAACCATCCCATACACCGACCCGACCGCTCACGCTCTGTGTATTTATTTGCATCTCCCAAATAGCGCGTGATGCCGGGATCCTTCTTCATTCTGCTGCGATTCTTTTTGCGCGTGGACGGCGTGTTTGTGCGCGTCAATGACACGCGCATTTTCCACGAATTCTCAACCAATTACATTTTGCGCGAGTTCACGTCTCGCGAGCAAAAGTTTTCAGTTCTGAACGAGGTATGGTCTGTTTAGAAAAAGCTGACGGTGGTCTCTGCTCGGCGAATCCCCGACCTCATGCTCTTTTGTTGGTGGTTTGCTGTGTTTTTGTTTTGCGCCTGCTGCAGCGCTGCGCACCCGGTACCATCCACGATCTCGAGTTCTACTCCAAGCCGCAGACCCTTCATCGTCTCCTCGACATGACCGCGGGCAAGCGAGAAAAGATTGCCTTCAACAAGCCTTAACGCGGGATGACGACTTTTGTTTTTGTATTCTTGAGAAGTACAACAACATTGACACACACAACACTCATGGAGCAACTATTCAAGAGAAATAGCACTAGTTACACAACGTTTCCGTGTCAAGCGTCGTGACAAAGCCAACATGCGCGACTTTCAAGATGCCCTCGATGGCAGTGAGGATGCCGCTCAGCGAGATGCTGAGGACAAGGGCAAATACCACAAAGGATTTGCGTCCCTTGTTGTCAAACCACGGCTTGAGCACCTTCTTGGAAAGCACGGACGCCATCAGCGTGAAGGCGCTCAAAAACAATGCATAGTCGTACACGAGCGTGTTGAGAATGACAAACTGAATGACCGTCGATGCCGCCGTAAAGACGACGAGCAGGTTGGAGATGGCAGTTGTGACAGACTGTTGCAGGCACGAATGCATTGAGTCAAGGGCCGTACGACGACGACAACAACAAAAAAACCAAAAAACAAAACAAAAAAAAAAAAACAAGCTGCGGCAAACAAACTCACCGGATCGGGCGTCTGGACGGCCATGTTCAACAACAGCGGACCAATAACCATTGCGCCGCCGACACCAACCATTCCTCCTGCAAGCCCGCCTCCGAATGAGAGCAAGGGATAGACGATCGTGTTGCGGCGGTTGAAGACAAAGTCGGTCGGCTCAAACTGGTGCCCGCAGCGCTGCTTGAGCTCGAAGGCGTCGCGAAGACGGCGGCCATACCACAGCGTGACGAGGATGGCAATGGGCAGCGGCAGGAATGCCACAATCCAGAACTCAGCCGAGCACTTTGACACAAAGCGTTTGATTGTGGAGCATGCCAACACAATCAGCCACATGGCAATCATGCCAAGGATTTGGGTCGTTGGGAATCGCAGCTCCTGATCGAGCTGACGCTGGTACAGGACCTGGTCCTTGCTCGGCAGCTCTGCCTCGGACGGAACCGGCTGGGAGAGTTGGATACGGCCGGCGTCCTCAGAGTCGCTGAGATCCGAATCATCCATGTTCACTGACAGCTGCTCTGCGGAAGTGTCTGTGGAGGCAACCAGCGACTCCTTGTCTTGGTGCTTGTGGTGGCGTTTGTTCAGCTTCTGGAGAGGAGCAGCAGCAGGAGCAGAAGCAGCAACGTTTGCGCTCGTGCCGCCATTGGCAAGCGCGCGACGCTGCTGAGACTCCTTTTTGTACATGGTGATGCCCTTCTTCATGGTTTTGGTGGTCGTATATACGAGAATGACCAGCAGCGCGAGGATAATCATCCACCCTGGCAGCAGCACGTTGAGGAAGACGCCCAGCGTTGTTCCGGCCAAGCAGACCGGTTGCAGCAAGAACGAGACGTCATAGTCAATCACAGGCCGCCCGTTCGGTCGCTTTGCGCGAATTTCAAAGAGCAGCGACATGATTGCTGCAGCGGTGATCATTGTGCTCGAAATTGGCACTGCCTGGTCTGCCTTGAACTGAGCATGCAAAAACGGAGAAGGTGAGTTTTTTTGTCATAGTTCTCGTGAAATAACGTGTTGGCAAAGTTGCTCAGATCAACCTTGTAAAGAAAGCTCCGCTCCAGCCACTCACTCGCCCACTCAAACCACTGGACATGATGCAGAGAGTGAGTTTGGCAGTGGGATGAATCATTTGCGATTTAGACGCTGTTGAAGTGCAGTCAGGATGCAATCTGGTGTGACTGTGTTCCAATGGAAACTGGGGAACGGTGGGAACGGGCGGTGGGAAAAGCGGCAAAGACCGATGCTCGGCTGACCTATCAATCCATCCATCATTCACCGACTCGTTCTATCACCCTTCCATCGACTTACATGAGTAATGATCATCAGGAGCGGGACAAAGAGACCGCCGCCACCGACACCGCCGATGACTGCGAGACTCGAGCCAAAGAAGCACAGGAAGCAGAGCAGGAAGTCGAGGAAGGCGAACGGACTGAAGATGGACTTGTGCGTGCAGACGCCGACGCCGGCGCCGTAGTCGCGGTCCTGGCAGAACAGCTGCGGCTCAAAGTTGCACTCGTGCTCAGTGCCGTTCAGGAAGCACGCCTCGCCCGGATCACCCGTGCTGTCGGCAATGCTCGGCGCGTTGTCGGCACTCGAAGAAGTAGCGGCGAGCGGTGCTGTATTGTCGGCCAGCAGCCGCGGCCGCAGCCACTCGTGCTGGCCCGCCACCACGTCGCCAGCGGCATCGTGGATGGTCTGCACAACTCCCGCAGGCCCCAGAGCAGCGGCATCGGCAGCAGGATGCGCTCCGTTCGACGAGAGCGCGGCGACCCGCAGTGGCCCCATCGCAGTCACGACCGACAACGTGGTGAGCATCGCCATCAGCATGGTCGCCATCCCGCCATACTTGCTGAGCATCATGCTGATGCTGCTAATGTTGGTGATGCTACGACGACGACGCGCGTTGCTGTGGGTTGTCAATGGCTGGTCGCCTGCTGTTGGTCGCCGTCGAAAGCGATGACTCGGTTTGTCGCCTCGCGTCATTCAGATTTGTGCTGACCCGCTCAAAATTCAATGCAAGGAACAAGCGGAGCAAACAAGAAAGAATAGAAGGGGAAAAAAGGGACTGCAAAAGTACACAATGGAACAAACTCAGAGACAATGGATGAGAAAATGGCTGAAAAAGTACTCTCTCACTTGATCATGCATAGAGCGTTGATGCGTTGATCCAGCAGTCATTTGGATCTCGGTTTCCCATCCATCCATGATCATCTGCTAGATCTCCAGCCTTTGGTCAAGCCATCCATCCAGCCAGACTTCAATCTTATCCATCTTTACGGTTGTGAATTTCTTCTCACGCAACTCCCCTCTCCTTCTCTCGACTCTACTTGCACTTATTGTTCCCCCAATCCTTCCACACTATTCCCATATTGTCAATATGCTCCCAATTCGAAAATCAGTCGTGATTCAGCTGATCAAATCCGACCCAAAGATCAGCTTTTCTCCGAAAACCGCTCATTCTCTTTCAGTCATGAGCTCTGCTGCAACCACCCGACCACCTCAAGCTCAAGCTCAAGCTCAAGCTCAAACCCCAGCTCAAGCTCAGCGACCCGCCGTCCCCGTCCGCGAGTACTTTCTGGGCGGAATGGCGAGCCTGATGGCCTGCCTCTTCTCCAACCCGTTCGAGGTCGTCAAGACGCGATTGCAGCTGCAGGGCGAGCTGCTGGCACGAGGCAACTACGTCAAGGCGTACAACAATGCAGGACACGCATTCATCACCATTGCGCGCCAGGAGGGCCTCCGAGCCCTGCAGCGCGGATTGTCCCCCGCGCTCGCGTACCAGCTCTTCATGAACGGCACGCGCCTGGGCGTATTCGACCCAATCCGGCGAAACCTCATTGCGCTGACGCATGAGCCCACCTCGCAGCGCCAGCTCATTGCGTTCAACGTGGCGTCCGGCGCAATCTCGGGCGCGATCGGCGCAAGTATCGGATCGCCCTTCTTTCTGATCAAGTCGCGCATTCAAGCCCAAACCTCGGCCAAGGGCGTTGCGTTCGGACACCAGCACAATTACAAGGGTGTAGTGGATGCATTCCGGCAAATATACGCCCAGGAAGGCCTGCTGGGCTTCTTCCGAGGGGTCAATGGCGCCGTTCCGCGCGTCATGGTCGGCTCTGCCGTCCAGCTCTCCTCGTACGACTTTATCAAGCGCCTGGTCATGCGGGAGACGGGCTGGGACAACTCGTTCCCAACCCATTTGCTGAGCAGCTTTGGCGCCGGCTTTGTTGTCACCGTTTTCATGAATCCCTTCGACGTCGTGTCCACCCGCCTGTACAACCAGCAGGTCGTCGACGGCAAGGGCGCCATGTACAATGGCTTGATTGACTGCTTCCGCAAGGTGCGTGCTTCCGAAGGCGTGCGAGGGTTTTACAAGGGCTTTTCCGCGCACTACTTCCGGTTGGCGCCGCACACTGTTCTTACGTTTATCTTTTGGGAGCAACTCAAAAAGCTGTCGGCACAGTTGGATTCTCGTCGTCATCATTGAAGAAAGCATCAAATTTGACTTTGTGCGAGCGCTAAGTGTTTTTTCTTTGATTTTTTTTGTACAATACGACAGCCGGTTTTTTCGTTGTTGATTAGCACCACAGACCACAGCACGAGAGAGAGAGATGCGATCGATATCTTCGATACATGGTTCCAAAAAAAAAAGAAACGGCTACTTGTCTGCCGACCAGTGCACAGAGTGCAGAATGTGTTTGCGGGAAGTTACGAGATCAGTGTCAGCGTCAAAGACACATCGGACCATCATGCTCAGATCGACGCTGCGCTCGTCTCGAAGGCATTGCGACACTGATGCAAGGAGCAGTTGCACGCTTGGATTGAGGGCAGAGACCTTGTCGGACTCGCATCTCTCGAACAGAGGGTTGAGCATGGCCACTTCATCTGCCAGAATGCGTTGCGTCGTGACAGGAAGCGGCCAGGCCTTGTTTGGTGGAACCGTCACCACGACGTCTACGCCTGCTGCAGAGATGGATTGGTCGCGCGCGTGCAACACGAGCGGATGAAACCACCAACAAATCCCCAGTGTGTGCGCATCCGAGCGCACATTGCAGCAGTTGGTACACAATGCAGCAAGGTTGGTCAGGGTTGAAGGGGTGCCACAAGCCTCGCACCCGCGGTAGGTGAGGGAACGCATCCAGGGCAGTATTTCATGGGAATCTTGCGAGGTGGAGTTGGCGCTGAGCGCTGGCATTGGGCTGGCATTCCGGATGAGTGGTAAAATAAATGTAATCAAGGCATTGCGAACAAGTACACGGCCACTGGCTTTCTGCTCGAGCAGCTCTGCAAAAGTGTGTACTCTGTGGCTTGCACGCGCAATGAGAGTGGTGCGGAAGCGTTCGACCTCTGGCGTTCGTGTTTTGGCGACCACCGCCAGCTCTGTCGTTTGAATCGAGTTGACAGCCTGCTCGTCGTCCACCGACGGAAAGAGCAGAAGGCGTGATAACGGACTGGTGTGCAGCGTTAGTTTCGAGCCACTGGTATCCTTTCGGCACATGAGGTGCGTCAGCTCCAATACTGGCGCTGCTTCGATGGAGGAGGTCGCCGCACAGCCCTGCAACAGCTTGACCCAGTCATGAGTTTGTCGACCCCACACGCACACCATTGTCGCACAGTCTGCGCGATCGCTCAGGGAAAGTGCTACTCGACCCGCGCGTGTGTTGGTCGAGCCATAAGTATACGCGTCTGAGGGCTTGGAAGCTTGTTCACAGTGCATTGCAAGTAGAAGCCCTCGAAAGTTCAGGACTTGGCCATCGCGAAGCAGATTGCTGGGAATGAACTGCAAATCGGGACGGAAGGAGGCTGGAGTTTGCGGGACTGTGTTTGCAGCCAGAGCGGACGATGCGGGATTTGAAAAGAAGGACGGATGTCTTGTGCGAGCCCATTGAGCTAGTCGAAGCATGTGCGCGGTGTCAATCAGAGTCGGGGCGTGTGAATCACTTGAAGTTGAGGAATTGCCGGAGAGATGTTTTGGGAGCTGGACGCAGCTTCCCAGTCGTGTCATGATCGACTTGAAGGAGGTACTCGCAGAAGCAGTGCCGTTATATTGCGTGGGGCTCACATGCGAAATGTGAATTAAATCGCCAACGGCTAGAACGCTGGCCCATGCTGTTCGCTGCCGCCAAATCGTCACACGAAAGTAGTCTCGTGTATGGTCGCCGAGTACGATGGATACCAGGTGAAAGAACGATGGTGGTGCGGCTGCTGGCTCTTCATCACCTGCTGCAGCAACTTTTGCATCCGAAGAGAGAGGAGCTGCGACAGTGCTGGAGGCGGGTTGTTTGCGGGCCGCGAATTCTTGAACCGGATTGATTTGAACGACAACACCGCAGATGCTGGACAATGGCGCCGAGCTGGTCTCGTTTGACGGAACGGGTTGTTGTTGAGCTAACGTCCCCAGGGTAATAGCAGTGAGGCGCGCATCGGCCACAGAGTCTGTCTTCAACCGCTGGGCCGCAAAAACCCCAAGCGGAACAAAGGGCGAGTACGGATCCTGCGGCTCCTGTTTGTGCTTGCCCTGCCACTTTGACGCTGATTTCTTGAGCGG